TTTTCAGGTACCTCTAGAAGAATCCTTCCACGGTGTGGGCAACCGGGAAGTGATAACTGCCCTCATACCTCTAACAACACTCAAGACCACTGTATTCATAATCAATCTCCTTCTTTACTTCCTACTATTCCTTCTACCTTGACTTTCAACACTAAACTTCCTCTCTCGGTTTCCTCCTCAAGTGTCACCATGGCCAACGATTCTAGTGCGCGAAACGCTGTCCCAGGTCTACTAAAACCTCGCTCCAAACTACACATTGGAGCTTTCAACGTACGTACCCTATGCCAAATCGGTCAACAGGCCTCCTTAGCTAAAACTCTAGAATCTCGTACCATTGATGTATGCTGTGTCTCCGAAACACGCATACAGGATCCCAGTGTGGTCATTCACTTGACCTCACCTCGCCAAAATGGACAGCCAACGAAATACACCCTCCGTGTATCTGGCGACCCGTTGGCTAGTTCTCGCGGACTTGCAGGTGTAGGTATAGCACTAAGTACAAGGGCAGAACAGGCACTATTAGAATGGATCCCCGTTAACAGTCGCCTGTGTGCTGTCCGGCTGAATGGCTCCGTAAGAACTCGGAAGGATAGGGACACACGTCATTGCCTTTTCGTCGTTTCTGCCTACGCTCCCACTGACTGCAGCCATGATGAAGTAAAAGATGACTTTTACAGAAAACTCTCTGAGCTTCTTCAGAAAGCTAAGCGCTCAAACACCTTGGTACGAAAACATAGAATTCTGACTCCCTTGTTTTTAACTAATAACGATGTTTGCAATTCAGTGAATTGAAACTGTGACATTACATGAATTGGTTGATCTCTTTGGAAGCGGTGGCACTCGGCTTAAATAAAGTTTTTCATGTCCCACTTGTTTTCTGGAGTTTGAGCAATACATAGTTGTATCCCTACTACATCCCATATAGAAAATATTAAGAAACGTCAGCAGTCAGTAATAAAAAATGGTAAAGGCGGGTCAGCAATGTCGACTTAATGTACTGTGTGAATAAAAAAGATAAAATACGTTAACGTTCGGGAGTTTGTGTTATGTATCACTGCCTAAAATTCATTTATCTCGGAAAATTTTTTTATAATTTTCCTAAGTGATGTGTATCAAAATATTTATGTGAATTTCACCAATTTCCATCCAATTCAGGTGTAGTAATTGATGGTGTACTTCGAGATTTACCTGTATCTTCAGTTGAAGTCAGAAACTATATCGATGAAAACAAAGGTTTACAAGAATTCCTAACCACTACTTTGCCCAAAGTATTTGCTCACATTCCACCTCATCTCCCACGTTTTATTACTCAAATATGGCAACCATATGATATTGCCTTGGCAGCTCGTTCAGGATGTGACATATTTGATGGTAGTTTGCCATACCGACTCAGTCGCAGTGGGATTGGTTGGATTTACGAAGACTGGAATGAAACTAACCCCTCTAGTATGGTTTCAGATCCAAAATTCCTAGAGTTTCCATTTGAAGAATCCTATAAATTGGATACAAAGGAGTGCTACTTACCGATTCAACATGGATGTAATTGTTTCACGTGTTTGCATCACACACGGATGTATATATCTCATTTGCATATTGCTCAAGAAATGTTGGCTCCTATGTTACTAATGATGTGAGTTTTCTTATCTGTTAAATAATCGTTTACACATTTCTTCAGTGTGAATTGTCTGTTGCAGTTAACTTTGAATAATTGTTTCTGTCAATTCACAAAGTTTGCATATAACGTTGGAACATAAAGATCTTTTCAATAAAAACTAACGGATTAGCAAAGAACTCTACTTAGTATTCAGGGTACGGTGGTATATAAACCCTGAAGAAGCCAGTTGCGATGTGATCAATCTTAGTCGAGGATTAAATCACAAAAGCAGTACACCAGGTAGCATGTTTTAATTTTGATACAATCGCCAGCAGGACTCTGAATTAAAACATAATTTAGACCACATATGCTTCCGACTAAACGTATGTTTTACTTAGTTGTATGTAGCAAGCTCAACAGCCGTCCGACTTTGGTAATTATATCCAACTTTGGAATAGAGAACGCTAACGGAATCCTTGTTTCAACATTCTTGTACTTTTCACCTCAAACAAGTAAAAAGATTAACTTTTAAGTGTCAGTGTGACAGATTGGATTAAAGTATGCGCCGTGTAGGATTGTGTTAGGGCGTGCTGTCTGATCATTTCTTAGCCAACGTGCTAGCAAATAATTGAGTATGACTGGAATCTCCTCGTACAAAATCATATATATATGGAGTTTAATTATGTTCCTCTTCAACCAAATTTCATGAGTTTTATTTGTTTCTTTCTTTACAATTTTAGCCACAATTCTCATCAATATTATCGCTTTTTCTCTGATCTTCGTCGGTCTATAGCAGTAAACAAAATTGATTCATTTATTACTCATGTCTCTAACTGGCGTTTTCCTCTTAACATTCTAACTGTTGATAAAACAAATGAGTTCAAAAGCACAGTAAATACAGACTATGATGATGTGTAAATCTTTGTTATTTTCTTTACTATTACATGCATTTCTCACTTCAATGACATACCCTTAAGTATCATTTTAATTTATACAATGCAGCATTGGTTGAATATGGTGTATTTGTAATCACAATCGATTGGTCACTGGGTGGCGATCAATATCATGCGTGTCAAGCCCTTCTTAATGCTGATCAAATGCTATCGATCAAGTTGCAATGTGGCCACTAGTCTAGGTGACTCGACACTGCGTGCACTATGTTGCTAATGCGCACTTGGCACATGAACCGGATAGCTGCTCAAGTTCGGTGTAATCTGACACTAAGTTTCGCCGGTTCAAGTTAGGACTCTTTCAGGAGCCATATATACCGACACAAACCTCTCCATATCTGACCCTATAATAATCCGTTGAAGAATTTAAAATTTCAATCGACGAATTTTAGCATCTGTCAGACTACACATTTCAATGTGTTGCTTGTAACGTAAGTTGTCGCTTATCGCACAGTGTTTCATCTTACATGAATACTGCTAATCTAATAGTCCTAGTGTACCGATAGGCTCTCTCCGATACAACACAATATGCACCAATCAAATTACACTTGACGGAGAAGCTTTGGAGGATGTACAAACATTTACATATCTGGGCAGCATCATTGATGAACACAGTGGATCAGATGCAGATGTGAGGGCGAGGATCGGCAAAGCAAGAGCAACATACTTACAACTGAAAAACATCTGGAACTCAAAACAATTGTCAACCAACACCAAAGTTAGAATTTTCAATACAAATGTCAAGACAGTTTTATTGTATGGGGCGGAGACGTGGAGAAATACGAAAGCCATTATCCAGAAGATACAAGTGTTTATTAACAGTTGTCTACGCAAGATACTTCGGATCCGATGGCCAGACACTATCAGCAACAAGTTACTGTGGGAGACAACAAACCAGATTCCAGCGGAGGAAGAAATCAGGAGGAAGCGCTGGAAGTGGATAGGGCACACTTTGAGGAAATCACCCGATTGCGTCACAAGACAAGCCCTCACATGGAATCCTGAAGGTCAAAGGAGAAGAGGAAGACCAAAGAACATATTACGCCGAGAAATAGAGACAGACATGAGAAGAATGAACAAGAACTGGATAGAACTAGAAACGAAGGCCCAGGACAGAGTGGGTTGGAGAATGCTGGTCGGCGGCCTATGCTCCATTGGGAGTAACAGGCGAAAGTAAGTAAGTATACCGATAGGCTACTCAAGGTGCATTTAATCCATCTTTGTTAACCTTACATGAGTGTATACTCAACCTTTTCAGTGATAAAATGTAAGGAATTATGGATACTTTTCAACTCAGTTGACTCTTGCTTTGTCACATAGTCGTTGCAAGATTTAGGTGGATCAAAAATGCCACAAAATCGTGAAACGAAGATTCGGAGGATCTGTCTTCATTCCAATGATATCACTGATAAATCTCAAACAGTCTTAGCATCACCACCCGCAATCACAAGTTTTGGACATAACTGTATTTTCCTAATTGTTGTACGTTGTGGTCCGGTTAGTCATCTATTTATTCATGTATCTTTTTACACTAATCTGAATCGGAACGAGATCAGAGTATGGATCGGAATTGCGAATAAATCGAATAGCCTTTCAGTCACTTCGTCTTCTCTTTCTCGCGCGCGCGTTTTTCAGCCAATTAGTTGATATAATAGCTTTCGTTTCTTTACCCCAAGCAGTTAGTTTCAATTCGAACTCATTCATACTAACCTCAAGGTTAAATCAGTCAGCTTATTGCGTTAAGGTCTTAATCTAGATTGAAGCAAGTTATCTTCTGCATATTAGTATGTAGGCAGATCAAGGGTGTTTTGATGTTGGTTTGTTCTCTGAGCTGGATGGTTTGGTCGTGGAGCTTTCATCGTCCTTCTAAACGACATCATCAGCACAAACTTCGGGTAGAAGTATGATGTCGTTCAGAAGGACGATGAAAGCTCCACGACCAAACCATCCAGCTCAGAGAACAAACCAACATCAAAATCACCCACCTGAGCTACAAACCTTCTCCACCATCTCAAGATCAAGGATGTGACAATTCAGTTTTAAAAAATACGAAGGATTGACGTCCAATGATAAAGTTAAAATAAACTCATACTATTATTTTATATAGTTGAGATCATGAGTCAATTGAAGCTAGACCACCATGTGAAACCTGAAAGCACTGGACGGCCGTTTCGTCCTATTGTGGGACTCCTCAACAGTGCACATTCACGATCCCACACGCAGGATCCGAACCCAGGACCTATCAGTTTTGCGCGCGAGCGCTTAACCACTAGACCACTGAGGTGGCCGGTATTCAATGGTGTTAATGTCTAACTTCAACCAATCCACGAAATTGAGATCGTGGATGTGCACTGCTGAAGAGTCCCACAATAGGACGAAACGGTCGTCCAGTGCTTCCAGGTTTTCCGTGGTGGTCTAGCTTCAATTGACTCATGATCTCAACTCTATAAAATTACTAAAATCTCCACAAAACCCCCCTTCTGATTATACTATTATTCTTATGTGAACTCGTTGCCCTGATAAACAAAAAGTGAGATATAAGTTTTATTGAAACTAATCAAGCAGCATATAAATCATAATGATTACACACAGGGATGAAAGAAATTGTAGATGGTTTTTGATGTTATAAAGTTAAAATGATCCAAAATGAGTAAAAATGAAAGTTGACCACACAAAACTAATAAAAATTAAATTACAGTAAAAGTCTGTTTTTCATTACTGATAATTTTAAGCATTATTTCAGATATATGTGTGTGTATTTGTTAGAGCATTCAATCGCAATTATGATGGAGTTTCGTTCTCTAAGCTGGATGGTTTAGTCGTGGAGCTTCCATCGTTCTTCTGAACAACATCATCAGCACAATTCGAACATTTGAAGTTTGTGCTGATGATGTCGTTCAGAAGAACGATGAAAGCTTGATGACCAAATCATCCAGCTTAGAGAACGAAACTCCATCAAAATCATCCATCTGAATTGCAAATCTTCTCCATCATCTCAAAATTGCGATTATATTAAATTTCTTTAAATACTATTGACGATGTATTACCATGAAGTACAGAACGTAGAATTTTCTAAAATGAGAAAAAAAGTTTTCCAACAAACACAATTAAAAAGAAACCCTCAATAGACAGATAAATAATGGTGGTCTATCTTCAATTGACTAATGATCTCAACTATTAAAATTACTATAATATCCATATAAACCCTTTCTGGTATTAATCAACATATGATCACTAGTGACTGGCTTCAAGAGGTATTTCCTGAAGTTCTAGTGAGAAGCAGTGACCAGTGGAGTTCAACCAGGTCTGTTGAGGCATAGTAACTCACTGACGATAACGGTGGACGTGTCGCTCATTTTCGTGGATTGGTTGAAGTTAGATATTTACACCATTGGATGCCAGCCAGCTCAGTGGTCTAGAGGTTTAGCGTTCGCGCGCGAGACCGATATATCCTGGGTTCGTATCTCGCGGTGTGGGATCGTGGATGCACACTGTTGAGGAGTCCCATACTAAAGCGAAACCGCCGTCCAGTGCTTCCACGTTTTCCGTGGTGGTCTAGCTTCAATTGACTCATGATCTCAACTATTAAGAAGATAAATAACTATATAATCTAAAGTGTAATTAATGTACACATAAAATTACTTACTTCACTGTATATTTTCATTCGAAGTCGATTAACACGTAATTGAGCCAATTTAATTTTTTGTTGATTAACTTGATTCTGTATAGAATTATGGGATAATCTTTGTCAAATAAAAAGAAAAGCATGGGAAATAACTGATATTCTCTGATAGGGATAAAGAAAAAATCACACAATCTATCCATATAACCTACAAACTGATATCTTTTAGATAACAATAAAGATAAAGCTTGGTTTCCTTTACAATTCTATCATTCATCAAGTTCAACGATGGTTAACTATTCACATATTATCTATATTTTACTAGCAACCATAAATGAGTAGCTATCTAGTGTTTCTTTTAAGATCCTTAGCAATAATATATCACGAGCATAGAACAGAACATAGAAGAATAGGGATATACTGATATTATTATTCTGGCCCCCAAATGCCGTGGTACGGCCGAGAGTGCGGAGAGTCCGCACTCCCTCTCAAAATGCTTTCACATGGCCACGTGTATATAGCCTCTGCCACACAAGTCCTACTCACTGCCTTCTCGTGGCACTACTGTTGTTTACGAAATTGAGGGGACGAAAAGCGAGTGTTAGGTGCTTTAACTGGGGTGGTGGACACGGAAAGTACACCTAGGGGAGTTGGAAAACCCTGATAACAAACCAATGGTGCACACGGGCTGGCTCCAGTATCCTGAGGGAACAAATGGCGTATAAACCAATTGTTGGTCACCGGCTACCATGGGACTGCATCTCCTTACGATGCTCCACTGCCTTGTGGATTAAACATTTAGGCGAAAGGCTCGTGGTGTGGCCTCCTAAGAAAACCACCTGCTTCAGTTTGGCCATGTGGGCAGTATCACAGCCCTCACACAAATCAAATGAAATTTGTGCGGCGCATATTTATCTGGTGCCCCTTTGTTCCAATATTCATGTGTTTAAATAAAATAAAATAAAAACTGTGGATCTAGTCATAAAGTAGACACAAATTACTGAGATCAGTTCGTCATTTCAATCAAATTCAACAATCTCTACAAACCGATACTGCGAAATTTTCATTTGCTCATTAATGACTAGCTCTGAGAGGAAATTTCTGGAGTTCTAGTGAGAAGCCGAGATCAGTGGAACTAAACTGTCTCGGATGTGATGCAGTTACCTACTAAAGAGAATAAAAAACGGTCGCGAAATTTCATCGATATAAATTAGTTTATCCAAAGAGCAAACGTCAACAACTATGTTTCAATAATCTTTACTAAGACTTCAATTTTTTCCTAACACTATATAATCAAATACGTACCTAGGTCGATATTCTTTTTGTATTGATTGTTTCCGTTCATATCTAATGCCAACTTGTGATTTTCGACTGGGATCTAAAGTGATGTTTTCAAAATGTTACAAATAGAATAAAATCAAAATTTGTGAAAACGAACAAGTTAACTAGATTTAATCAAATGCAATTAAAATGTAAGGTTTGAACCGATCTACCATAAAACAAAGTGACCATGTAAGAACAAGGAGTACATCATTCAACAGAAGGCTTTTTTATAAAGAAAGAAATGAAGAAGGGAAAGAGGTGTCTCGAAGCTCCTGACAGTTTATTGTAAGTCCAAAACACAACTATCAGTTGTGCAACAAAGATATTGTTTGTAATTGTGCCGTCGACTCTCTGGTTTAATAGTTCCCTATGAAAACTCAATTATTGGCGCTAAACCTCAAGTGACGTTGTGTAGAACGACAACACAAATAGTCAGGTTGTTTCGAATGGTCACACAAAACTTGATGCAAGATGAACGTGATAAAAGTTAACAGGTATTATGATCGATTGATAACTAACGATATCTGAAGATCACTGAATGTTTGACACTTTCCGCACTTTGCATAACAGTCGATTTTATGTTCGTTATAATTCACTTCTGTAGTTCAGTGGATGACGCCATCTAAAAACTGTCCATCGCTACTTAACATCGTTTCAGCTAACCTTAATTTGAGTTTTGTGAGATTTTCACGGACATTAACACGACAGAAATTGTTTCCTTCATATTATTCAATTAAAATATTATCAGAAGGGGGTTTTGTGGAGATTTCAGTATTTGCATAGTTTAAATCATCAGTCAATTGAAGCTAGACCACCATGGGAAAAAACGGTTCAGTGCTCTGGCGCGAGACTGGTAGGTCCTCGGTTCGAATCTCGTGAGACGGGATCGTGGATGCGCACTGCTGAGGAGTCCCATACTAAAACGAAACGGCCGTCCAGTGCTTTCAGGTTTTCCATGGTGGTCTAGCTTCAATTGACTCATGATTTCAACTATGCAAATTAAAATATTCACAATTTCACAGTTTTAACCACCTACTTATATTGTTTACATTGATTTTCAGTTGCATTAAGCTAACTTGTAAACATAAATCTGTTTTAGTGTGATATTCAGTATCACATTATTTGATTTCACAATCGAAAGATATTTGAGGTTGACGGCAGACTATGATTATTGAATCATTGAAATTATCGAAAAAGTACAGGTCAATTAACACATGGCACTTCAACAGTTTGTTTGGTTGTAACTATTAGGTAATATTGAAGTAGCATACAATCAATGTCCGGCGCTTCAACCGGGTTAGTGGACACGGAAAATCCACCTAGGGAAGTTGGAAAACCCTGATAACAAACCAATGGTGCACACGGGCTGGCTCCAGTATCCTGAGGGAACAAATGGCGTATAAACCAATTGTTGGTCACCATGGGACTGCATCTCCTCACGATGCTACACTGCCTTGTGGATCAGATCTTTAGGTCAAAGGCTCGGGATGTGGCCCTCTAAGAAAACCACCTGCTTCAGTTTGGGCACCTGGGCAGTATCACAGCCCTCACACAAATCAAATGAAATTTGTGCGACGCATGTGTATCTGGTGCCCCTTTGTACCAATATTTATGTGTACAAAAAATAGATAAGTATAAATGGATATTGATCAAAGTTTCTAACAAAATATACATCTGAAGTAAAAACTAGAATAAAAAAAGGCAAACAACATGGAAAGATCGTTCTTGAAATTCCAATTCAAAGGTGATTATGAAAGAGTCACTGAGAGAAAAAAAAATTCAATGATTTAAGATTAATTTCTTCATGAGTCAATTGAAGCTAGACTACCATGGAAATCCTGGAAGCACTGGACGGCCGTTGGATGCACACTGCTGAGGAGTCCCACAATAAGACGAAACAGCCGTCCAGTGATTCCAGGTTTTCCATAGTGGTCTAACTTCAATTGACTAATTATTTCAACTATAAAATCACTGAAATCTCCACAAAACTCCCTTCTGATATGAATTTCTTCATTTCCTTAGCTAAGCAATAGTGACTTCATGAAGTATTGGTATTCAAAGTTACAAATCGAATCTCATATGTATCGGTTATAGTTCACAGTTATATAATATTCCCTTGTGTGCCAGGGTAATTTTGCATTGGTTTTCAGGGAAACCAGAAACCATCCAGACTTTCACGTGACAACCCAAATAGCACAGCTCAATCTCGTTTAACAGGAGAGCCAGACACTATATGGGCTTCAACGCTACAATCTGAACAGTACAGCTCAATCCTATGGCGCAACCACACAGTTACCAAGCTCCCTGGTGGACCATTTGCAACATTCATATACACATTTACATCACATGTATAATTATTCCGATCAGTGCTCCGGTAGCTTAGTTGGTTAGAGCGCCGTACTTATAATGCGGAATCTCATATCACTTGCCCAATATTTTCATCTCTCAATTACAATTGAGACCATAAGAATCCACTTAAATAAACTCGATTAATCCATTTAGAAACTGTTTGTGTATTATCATTATCCTATTTATAATATTTGTTCTTTTGTTAACGTAGGTATATTGAGTTGTGGATATTGCTGAATCTTATTGAAATTTCATTGATGAATCGACAAATGTTAGACCAGCATTGAATACCTAGTAAGATTGGACGGACGTTTTGTCCTAGTATGGGACTCCTCAACAGTACGCATTCATGGTGTTACACGTGGGAATCGAACCTAGGACCTTCAGTATCAGACTTCATGATTAACTAACTGACTATTAATATAATTTCTATTCCGTCTTATAATTATGTTGATTTACAAACATTTTATTAGTATACAAATGTAAAACTATATATTAGTGCTGATGCACTATGAAGAGGTAATTGAAAAGAAATACTTATTCCCTCAAGTTGTATTTACAAGATTTATATTCTTTGAATAGGAATAACGAAAGGTGGGATTCATTTGGTATTGTTTTTGAATCTTACCATCGATGTGTTAGGACTGCAATCGGTCCGGCCTCTAATTGGCATATGTACATACTGTGCGTATTGCCTCGATATAGCCTTAATTCACAAGCATTGTAAGCAAAGATGGATTGTGACTAGCAATTGAATCCAGGATGCGCGTTTCGTAGCAAGTGGCTATCAGAACTTAGTAACTGAGTGGATAACGCGATGGCGTTTGAAGCGAAAGGTACTGGGTTCGAGTTCTAGAGTTAACATCAACTCTGAAATGCAGGTGCATCCAGCTGACGAGTCCCGAATAGGACGAAACGCTCGTCAAGCTGGATTCCACTGCTAGTCAGCATAGCGCGTCGTGGTAATCGGTGTTCGGGCATGCGTAACACGTGGCCTAACCATCTCAGTCGATGAAGATTCATGACCTTATTAACTGGTTTACCATCATTCCCTAATACTCTGTGTCTCATCTCAGAGCTGATGTTCACTCCGGGACTCGAACCAGTACTGTTCGCTTTAAACATCATCGTGTTATCCACTATAAATCCTATCATAGATAACTGTGCAATGACTTGAATAAAACATTTTATCCCATAGAAATCAAATTCAGTCATCAACTAGACATTTGTTCCATACAGTAAACTTACTTTTTATGAAATTACGTTTAAGAGCTTTGTCAGAATTAGCCATTTTAAAGCAATTATTACTATTATTTCTGTTTGTTGGTACAGATTCCAAGGTTGAACAATGTGAACGATCAAAGCAACAACAACAACTTCTACTATCACAATTTGAATGAATTCCATTACCAAAATGATTTTTATATGACTGATCCAGATGAGATACAGACGATTGTTTAGAAAAATTATTTGATACAGCTGGATTTAAGACTTCGGCTCGCTTTACATCTTTTTCTTTTCGGTAGCGGCGTTCCTGAATAATAAAACGTAAACGTCTTTGACGTTCTTCACTACGTGATATCCATGATGACATTTTTTTTCTAAATATACCTTGAATATCTGTGTAACCGTCAGGATTATCGCTAATTTCATAAGTTATTTTCGGATTTGACAAGTTATTACGTTTCTCTTCGTAAGCCAATTTGTCCACGGTACTTAGTGTTGTATTCTCCATATGATGAAGGTTATTGCATTGAATATCTTCAAGAGATCTCGATGTTACAGTTTGTTCTGAGATAAAACAAAACAAAGAATAATTTAAATAAGATAATAAGGTTTTTCACTATAAAACAAAAGAATTACACAAAAAATCTAGAATTAAATATAAAAGTATCAATCATGGTAAACAAAGATGGATAGTGGTTAGCAGTGGAATTCAGGACGCGCTGGATGTACCTGCATCTCAGAGTCGATGTTCACTCTGGGACTCCAACACAGTACTTTTCGCTTCTAACGCCATCGCGTTATCCACTCGGCCACTGAGTCCTGATAGCCATTTGCTTGTGCAATGGGGTGAAGTTTAAATTCAATTATTATTGTTTGTTTGAATCTTACCATTGATGTCTTTAGGACCGCGTTCTGGATTCCACTGCTAGCCACTATCTATCTTTGCTTACCATGCTTGTGAATTTAGGCTATATCGAGGCAATATGCACAGTATGCAAATATGCCAATTAGAGACTGACCAGTTGCAGTCCTAAAAATATCAATGGGAAGATTCAAACAAACAATACTATTTGAATTTAAAAGTATCAATGTTAGGCCACCATTGAAAACCTGGAAGCACTAGACGACTGTTTCGTCCCAGTGTGGGACTCTTCAGTAATGCTCATCTACGGTTCCGCACGCGAGATCGACTCATGATCTCAATTAAAACTCAACAATCCCATAAGGATAAAAGTATCACCTTATTCATATTCAATGTGGAAATATATATATAACTGAGAATTAACTTTTAATTCTATCATTAGACTATTCAAGTAATTTTTGCTGATGAACTATGAAATCATAGATTCTGTATAGTTATAATATAAATACCCCTACCTTTTAAAATAATTTATTTAGGTTAGTCTACCGTTGCTGTTACGTTGACATGGTGATCGTGTTCGTCTATCGTAATGAACCAATCGATCTATACTGGATGGAACAATCGTTTCTCAAGGTCCTACCATGTCAGACAGGTCGTTTAAAGAGCGGTAAGACTAAAAGCAGCAAATCCAAGGTCCGAGAGCGAAGTTGTACTGTTGACTGCACAGAGCTGTGGCAGCAGTAAGGTGTTTCCATCAAACAACTAACATAAAAGCGATGCTGTCTTCCCACATAGGAAGATTGGGGTTAGGAAAGGTCGACCCTAAAAGTGCACACCTCGCCATATCCCACGGATATCCGTCTCTGGTGGTAAGGTCTCAACAATTAAGGAGCTAGTACAAAAACTACTCACAGAAAGGTAATGTGTGACCGACGTCAAGCAATTGTCCCTTAGGCACCGCGGTCACGCTTTCAGGACATTAAGACCACCTCTAACCCAATCTCCCTTTCAGTTATTTCTGGAAGAACCCTTCCATGGTGTGGGCAACCAGGAGGTGATAACTGCCTTCATAATTCTGACAGCACTCAAGACCACTGACTGACTGATAAAATGGAGATTTAGTTGATAAAATGTTGGATTATTCATTTAAGAAATGAGGTAATTTTTAATCTGTACCAATATTCTACAAATAGTTTTTCTTTGCTTAAACTATTGAGTTTTAAACTTTCAGCACACTTTTATTCTATACAAATTTCATTATAGATAAGTGATTCCTCTTTAACTATTTTAATTTTGATCATTATGTGAACTATTACAGTGACATTGATACTTTAAACTACATTGTTACAAGGGTGAAAACTACATTAACATCAATAAAAAGCAACTTAGAAACAAAATGTAGCAGAATGAGAAAGAATTTGCAAATTGATTGAATATTAATAAAAGGTAATTATCCATCAAGGTGTTTGGATTCTGTGTGGTTGCGCCACAGGATTATTGAGCTGTACTATTCAGATTGTAGCTTTGATGCTTATATAGTGTCTAGTTCTCCTATGGGGCGGGATTGAGCTGTACTGTTCTGGTTAAGCCCGAGAGAGGTGTCTGGCTCTCTTGTTAAACAGGATTGTTCTGTGCTATTTGGGTTGTCACGTGAAAGTCTGGATAGTGGCTGGTTTTCTTGTAAACCAATGCAAAATTACCCTGGCCCATAAGGGTTTATTATGTATAACTTTAATAATTATATTATAAATTAAGTAACTAAATTACTTTTTAAGCAGAGATGGAGAGTGGCTAGCAGTGGAATTCAGGACGCGCGTTTTATCGATGAGATGATTCAAACAAACAACACTAAATAAATTACTTTTTTTTTATAACGGTCCTTTTGTTTGTATAAATGTGAATGGGATGTTAATTTATCTACACTATATTTTCCCCTCCCCAAGTGTCGTCTTATCTAAGGACATCAATACAATTCAGATAATGAACACGTGATTAGACCGAGTCTAGAACGTCAATATATTTTCACTCCAAAAAACCGACACAATCCAACGACAAATGGACAATCAATCGATCAATAATAATAATCAATAATAAGGATAGGGGAAGAATATATAACTCATCTAACACCTGACAGACTCTCTTTACATGTCTGACTAAGCAGAAAACAACCAATCATTATCATTCTCGCCCAGGCATCACTTTTAATTTTATAATTGTATTAAATTATAATTTTACTAAGTTGAAATCATGAGTCAATTGAAGTTAGACCATCATAGAAAACCTGGAATCACTGGACGGCTGTTTCGTCTTATTGTGGGACTCTTCAGCAGTGCGCATCCATGATCCCGCCTCGCAAGATTCAAACTCTAAAATAAACTATTCACAGACAGCTTATAACATAAATAAGGATTTTATTTTATTCATGAAATCAGTATAGAATGATGATGATGTATAGTTTATGTGATAATAATAAAAGGATCAAATGTTAAGACGAAGAAGGTTTACGACCAAGTTGATTATGATCAAATTAGATAGTTGGTTATATTATCTGGTCACAATGCAGCGATGTGTATATTTTTAGGGTTCAACCTTTTCTAACCTAAATCTTCTTTTGTGAGGAGGTAGCATCGCTGTTATACAGGTTGTATGAAGAAAAACATTTTACTGCTGTTACACCTCTGTACAGTTATCAGTATAAACCCACCTTCGGATTTTGACTTTGCTACTATTATTCTTACCGCTCTTCAACCAACCTATCTGGCATCGTAGTGTGATGTGCGTTGCTTATATCCACATAAGTAGTATATAATCATGGTGGGGTATTGAATGTATTTCAGTAGAAGTTCGATAACGAAAGAACGGAAACGATACTCAATTGGTATGAAAATGCATGTTCATAAATAATCGAAGACTATGGACTGATATGCGCAAAAGGAATGGTCAAGATTGAGACAATGGATTGATAGTTTGGAAATCACCTATTTATTGTATGGTTGTCAGATTTTAATGAGATAGTTTGTAATTTTGTGCACAGGTACATCCGATTGTCTCCACTCGTGTTCTTATTCACTACAGTAGGACTTTGAGGAACGATTATTATTTCAGTCAGTATATCCCGATTAGTTTATCACGTTAGGCAAGCCCGACTATCACCTGAAGGTAGCAACAATGTTTAGGATATATATATAAACAATGAAAAATTGGATTAAAAGAAATATTAATTCACCTTGACTGTTATCATTTATTATGTCAGGAGATTCTGTCATATTACATTGACATGAATAAATATCATTCCCTTCATCATTATGTAATGAATGATTATTCAAGTTGCCAATATCATTGAAATCAAAATGATCACTTTTTATGTCTATATAAGTTGGTATAGAATATGAAATCTTGGATGCATATACACTTTTACTATTCGAACAGGGTTCATTGAATGATATTGGATTGTTCTTTAAAGAAAGATGATCATTGAATTTAGAATGTTTAATTACTATTGAATGATTTCTTATGGATTGACGTTTTTCTTCATTTAAAGGTTGAAACCATGATATACCTCCTGATAATGTTATTTAAAGAAAAATATATAAGAAAAGTTAAGTTAATGAAGTGTTTATTAACAGTATGTAAAACAAATATAAAGGTGAGGTTCAACCAGGTCTATTGTGAGATATCGACTCACTGAAGACAATGGTGAACGATTGTTTAATTTCGTGGATTGGTTGAAGTTAGACATTAACACCATGGGATGCCGGTTCATTAGTCTGTCGGTTAAGTGCTCTGGCGCGAGACTGGTAGGTCCTGGGTTTGAATCTCGCGAGACGAGATCATGGATGCGCACTGCTGAGGAGTCCCATACTAAAACGAAACGGCCGTCCAGTGCTTCCAGGTTTTCCATGGTGGTCTAGCTTCAATTGACTCATGATTTCAACTATGAAAATACTGAAATCTCCACAAAGCTTCTTCTAAATACAAAGGTGTTAAAGAAGACTATATTTCAATCTTAATAATGTACCGAGAAAAATCAAATGTATTAAACGATCAGTGAACACCGAAAGTCCACCCAGTGGAGTTGGCAAACTCTGATTCCAAACCAATGGTGCACATGGACTCCAGTATGCTGAGGGAACAAATGGTATATGAATGAATCTTTGATCACCGACTACCATGGGACTGCATCTCCTTACGATGCTCGACTGCCTTATAGATCAGATCTTTAGGTCTAAGTCTATGGGTGTGGCTCCCTAAGAAAACCATCTGCTTTGGTTTATGAATCACTTCCTTATTCATTTAAACCGTCCTTCGTTAAGGTTTTTTCTATATTCAAAATATTTATTCATTCTACTTCACATTCATTCAACATTTTGAGTATTGATTGTAGAATTTAAGTCAATCAGATGCCTACATTACTTTTACCAATTGGTGATTGTAGTTCACTTCTGGGAAATTTTACATTCCAATAATGAATACAATGATTTTATAGTGCATGTCATTCAGCTTACATAGTGGAAAATGTTAGTTTTATCAATGGATGAACATCACGTTTAATTATAGTGCTCACTTCCCATCAGCCTCTGAACACGACGAAGAGCGTAAAGAAATCAGATCTAGGTTAACTAAAAGTCTAAGGAACGATCGTGAGCACTGGTGGGCAATAAAAGCAAAAGAGAAGGAAAAGGCAGCGACTGTAGGCACCACCAGGCAACTCTTCAGACTAGTAAAAAAAACCGGAATTAATAAGTCAAGTGGACTCTTCAGAAGTGCAAATCCACGATCACCTACGCGGGATTCAAACTCAGGACCTTCAGTCTCGCACGCGGACACGTAACTTTTCGACCACTGACCTGGCGTGCTGCTGAAGAATCCCATACTAGGACGAAACAGCCGTTCAGTACTTTAAGGTTTTCCAGGGTGATCTAGCCTAAATCGACTCATGAACTCAACCTTTAAATTACTACAGTTTCCACAAAGCCTCATTCTGACAATACTTAAGTTTTTTGTATCATGAAAAAAACCTTACATTACTTGAATATATTGAGGGCACTAGCTCGAGACTGGTACGTCCAGGGTTCGGATCTCGCGAGTCGGGATCGTGGATGCGCACTACTGAGGAGTCCCATACTAAAATCAAACGGCCTTCCAGTGCTTCCGGGTTTTCCATGGTGGTCTAGCTTCAATTGACTCATGATTTCAACTATGAAAATATATTAAAACAGTAAAACAACATACCTAATGCTGCACATAACCCATTCACTATATTTTCTGATGATGGATATAATTGAAAGTTTGTATTTAATAAGGAATGATCTTTGGACAACTTTTCATGTTTAACATGATGATCATTATAGATGAAATTCATACATGATGAAGGTTGTAAACTAGGTTGACTGAATGGTAAATTCATAACCATCTTATTTAATTGATTCTCTGATTGTTTCTTGATACCAGTGAATTGTTTATCATTATCTTTACATTCAGTTTTATCTACAATTAGAATATTTGACAGTTTTGGTTTGTTACCTGTTTCAAGAAAAATATAAATCTCTTATTGTAAGCAAAGATGGATAGTGGCTAGCAGTGGAATCTAGCTTGACGCGCGTTTCGTCCTATTCGGAACTCGTCAGCTGGATGCACCTGCATCTTAGAGTTGATGTTCACTCTGGGACTCGAACTCAGTAACTTTCGTTTTAAACGTCATCGCGTTATCCACTCAGTTACTGATTCACGATGGCCACTTGCTTGTGCAATGGGGTGAAGTTTAAATTCACTTGGTGTTGTTTACTTGTATTTTCCCATTGGTGTTTTAGACTGCAATTGATCAGTCTCTTGTTGTACTCAGTAGCTGAGTGGATTACGCAATGGTAGTTGAAGTGAACGGTATTGACTTCGAGTCTCAGAGTGAACATCAACTCTGAGATGTAGTTACATCCGACTGGCAAGTCCCAAATAAAACGAAACGTGCGTCCTGGATTCCATTGCTAGCCACTATCCATCAATGCTTATAAAGCTCATGACTTAAGGCAATATTGAGGCAGTCCGCAAATATTCTAACACGAGACTGATCAATCGCAGTCTTAAATAACAGTCAAAAGATACAAGTAAACAACACCAAGTGAATTCAAAAGAGCGAATGGTTTTTAGCGCAATTACATTTTCCTTCGTAAGAGTTTATATTACAAATCTTTAACCTTAACTAAAGAAACAAATACAAGTTATAGTATACTCTGATCAAGTTTATCATAAAGGTTAAACCAATAACATGATAAACACTGTAATCGAATGCTAACAACTGTCATTATGAAAACTTTTGTTAATACCAACACGTGGTAGTGAACTAAAAACTCCAGTCTCATAAACGACATATACAATATATAATCACATAAGATATAGTATTTTTACATTCTACAGTAACCCAAAGAAATAGATGCGATTTCTATTGTATCTTATCCAACATTGTCAAAGGTTATATTAATATCGAGGTACAAATCCTGAAGGTTAAAGGAAAAGATTAACATAACTACAATTGAAGAACATCTGGAACTCAAAACAAATGTCAACCAAAACCAAAGTCAGCATTTTCAATACAAATGTTAAGACAGTTCTACTGTATGTGATAGAAACCTGGAGAACTATGAAAGCCATCATCCAGAAGATACAGATGTTTATTGACAGTTGTTTCCTGAAAAGTTCCGATGGCCAGACACTATCAGCAACAACCTACTGCGGGAGAGAACAAACCAGATTCCAGTGGAGGAAGAAATTAGGAAGAAGCGCTGGAAGTGGATAGGATACATATTGATGGAATCACCCAACTGCATCAAAAGGCAAGCCCTCTCATGGAGTCCTGTAGGCCAACGGAGAAGAGGAAAACCAAATAACACATTACACTGAAGAATTAAGACAGATATGAGAAGAATGAACGAAAGTTGGATAGAACTAGAAGGGAATGCACAGAACAGAGTGGGTTGGAGAACGCTAGTCAGCGGCCTATGCGCCATTGGGAGTAATAGGCAAAAGGAAGTAGATAAGTATGGAACACAATAATAGTGATTTGAATCAACTCTAACATATGAACTGATTGTTAATTTTCGACTCCTAAAGAGTTAGAACAATGAGGAATGAGTGAAAAACAAACTGTTGTATCGTTGTTCTTTGGTCTCCCTTTTTTCCGTTTCCTTTCGTGTTGAAGACTCTGACTTTAATATTTGTTGACAGTTGTTTCGAGTTCCATGTGTTCTCCTGTTGTAGGAATTCAGCCTCTGCTCTGCCAATCCTTGCTCACACGTCTGCATCAGATCCTCCACGTTCAACAATGATTCCATCCGGATAAGTGAAAGATTGCACATCATCCAGTTTCTCTATCAAGTATGATTGGGTTAGTGTTCTCTGTGCTGGATTTGAGGATCTTGCATTATCCGTGTGTATGTTGAGGCCTACTGATGCAGATTATGTAAAATTTTCATATAACGGTTGGTTTTGATGAATATCTATTAAAAGTATACGAAATAATCAAACGAAGAATAACTATCACAGTTCTGTACTTTCAATTCTCTTATTCCCGTCATCTAACAAATGATTATTTTGTTTGAATTGAAATCATGAACTGATCAATATTAGACCACTAATGGAAACTTGGAGGAACTGGACTGTCATTTCATCCTAGTGTAGTGAATGAGAACACAAGTGAGGATAATCGAATGTATAGTAGTACAAAATTACGGAATCACTTAATGAAATCTGAGAACCATACAGTAAACACTTCATTTACGAAATGTCAGTCAATTGTCTCAGAGTTCATTGTTCTTTCGATTGCACACAAATCAATTTCTTTTCTTTGATCTTCTTAACCTTCTGTTGCCAGATATTTCACTTTCGATTGATGATATATACTAGTTAAATTTATCGCCATCAGTAGCACACACCACACTAAAATAAGACACCTAGGACGAAACGACCGTCCAGTGGTTCTTGGTTTTCTATGGTGGTCTGATATTGATCAGTTCATGATCTCAATTGAAACTCATCAATCTCAACCCTATGCTGATGATTAGTTTGTTGTTAAACTTTCAAAATGATAGATAAACATTGACATCTAAACAGATAATGCAAATTCCTCAGTTGACCTTCGGTACACTGAGTAGTCAACTCTAGTTGTACATCTTCAAGGTTTCACTAATTTCTATCGAATAACAAACTTTCAGTAATGACAGATATTAGAAAAAATAATGAAACATGCTTAGGTACTTTAATTTGAAAATGTTCTATTTACTTGTTATGCCAGACTTCGGAACATCTTTTTGTGCCACTTCAAAGGGAGAAGTTCTATGACATATTTCTCCATTACATGAGGATGATCGTTTGCTCAACACTTTCTCGTGTATTCGTCCATCTTCTCCGTATTCATCAGTTGATAATCTACATTTTTGATTCTTTTCAGATTTCAAGTCCTTTGATATAGGAATGAACTTCTTCATTTGATTATCATCTAAATCAATATCTTTTTCAAATAAATCTGATAATAAAGATTCTGTATCTGTATCCCAATCATCAGGTACAGAGTTTGACAAAGGCTAAAATAATGAAAAGTAAATCATGCAAACACATTATAAACTGTTATATCCTAGTGAAGACGTAAGTACAGGTAACTTCCGGGATCCATTAATCGACTATTTGTTATAACTTGTGGCCAAGTGGATGCCCAGTTAATGTCTGAACGTGATAAAATCGCCAATTAGAGAGCAGCGAATTATCCATTGGAACAGTAACACATGAAAACCGTACGAGCAATCTAGAGTATTATCGGTTCTGCTTCGGTCTATCCCAGACAGTTAAGTCCAGGACACACTCTGCGGTATGAATCCTTCTATTTCAAAGATACTGAGTTTATATACCAAACAGACTGACCACATCGTACCAATAAAATAGAAAATAACACTTGTACATGATTTAGCCAAATGTGGCTATGAATATGGGAGGCAGCAACTAATAGACACAGCCACATTTGGCTTGATATTGATATTTTCTATTTCATGGTGTGACGTGCTCTGTCTGTCTGTGTGGCATATAAACCGAGTATGTTTAAAATAAATGATTCGTATAGCAGAAGCTGTAATTGGTGTTTTTGGACTCAATGGGAAGGGCTAGGCGGACAATGGACCAATAAGGACGCTAGACTGCTCATACTAGTCGAACGTCATTGATTTGGCACAGCGTTAGGATCGGAAAAGTCATATTTCGATTGGTGGATAATTCATAAGGCATTGGCGTACGGTCTTCTTTTATAAAGTCATAACAGTTTTGGTAAGAGAAAATAGATTAGACTACAGAAATCCATAGCTTCCATTTACATAAAATGGAGAATTAAGTTCCCCTTAAATGTTGAATTGTAAAAAATATTGATGTTCAAAATGTTTTAAACGGTCTAGTAAGTTTCAATGAGAAAAATGTTACCTCATTCCTGAAAAGTAATTAAGGTTACTTATCCATGTTGAGAGTCTTATGGGGAATGATTTTAAGGGAATAAACTGGTTGGTAACTAGAAACAATAACATAGACCTATCTTTTATATTATTTAAAGTTGTATTAATTTAATATAGTTATTTTGAAATCATGAGTCAATTGAAACTAGACCAAGTGAATTTAAACTTTATCCCATTGCGCAAGCAAGTGGCTATCAGAATTCAGTAGCTGAGTGAATAACGCAATGGCGTTTGAAGCGAGCGGTACTGGGTTCAGTCAGTCAGCTACAATGTAGGACCAGGCATATATATGCATCGGTCCAAGTAGCCTTACCTAGTTAGCACAACAAGATGAACACCAAACACATAGAAGTAGTTAATTTAGCGGTTGTAATATATAAAAGAAAGATTGTATATAAGGATATAGTATAGGAAGAAAGACAGGTATGAAGAAAATTTAATCTCACGGTTTAAGAGAAGATAAGGAGTGTATACACCAACGCCATTGTGATCGATTCTGAGCCATGTCACCCACAGTCTCCAACCATTGGTTACGATAGTCACGCGGACCTCAACCAACTAGTAGTCTGCATCTACCAACATGGCTCAGATTAGAAGTTAGTGACTTCAAGCACTGGTGCCACGTTTTGGTTTGGCCGCCTATAGCTCTATTCCAGCCATCCCTATACTAGTCAGGATTGTGCGTCGTGGTAAACGGTGTTCAGGCATATGTAACAAGTGGGTTCGAGTCCCAGAGTGAATATCAACTCAGATGCACTTACAACCGGCTGACGAATCCCAATTAGGACGAAACTCGTGTCTAACTGGATTCCACTGTTATCCACTTTCCATCTTTGCTTATAAGGTTTGAGTTCTTATGAAAATATAATGAATACATTAAAATGAGCAACTGTTTCAGACAAATACAAACATTTCACTTACTGGTGTATTTGATGAAACTATTTGTTCCAAAAGTTTTTCAAGATGATTCACTATACGCTTTCTTAAATAATAAGCATCCCGAGTATGTAATAACTTGAGTTTTTGTTTTAAGAGTATATATCTCATCTGAGCTATAAGAGTTGATCGTGGTGTCAAACAAACAGATTGTGACATTTTACGTTTCATACTTTCTTCAGTATATTTCTTATTATTGACAAGTTTTGCATGACAAGCAAGTAGTTTTTCAACCCATTCAAATGATGTTTTAATTCCTGAATCTTTAAAATTATCAGGTTGAATTCTGTAGGTATGATGACATGTACATTCATTTTCATCGTAAAGATCTGTGGTTTGAACTAAAAAATGAATAGATGAGAAACAATGATCATATATCAGAAGGGGTTTTGTGAACATTATAGTGATTTTAATAATTGAGATCATAAATCCATTGAAGCTAGACCACCATCAAAAACCTGGAAGCACTGGACTTCCGTTTCGTCCTATTGTGAGACTCCTCAGCAGTGCGTATCCACGATCCTGCCTCACGAGATTTGAACCCAAGACATATCAGTTTCGCGCTCGAACGCCTATTATTATAGATAGATAAGTTCCGTTACCAATTACTCTGCTGAAATATCTTTTTTAAAGGAGTATCAATTATATTAAAGTTATTTTGGTTTATTCTTTCTAGTTATGTTTATTTCTTTGAGATCTAATATCTTGTTTTCATTATCATTCCATTTATACACTACACGTTGTAGCTGTAAATTATTCCCTAAAATAAATAGCTCTGTAAATGTTCGACATTGGATGCTGACCGCATTAGTTTTAGTGGACTCGTTTAACTGAAGGCGCTCGGTCATGCATCCGTACCAGATCATGGTTTGGAACGGTGTGTGCAACGTCTCTTGCGATCACTAGCCAGATTAGATCAGTCGCTCCTAGATATATTGATAATCTGTCAAATATATCTTCCAATTTCCTTGCTTCTGACTTTTGATTACACTGGTTGGGCGCGATTCAATTATAGAAGGTGTTACTGGTAAAGTGTTGTCAAACTACAATACTGGTGGTATCTTCAACGTTAAACGATCTTATTTATTCCTACCTACAATTTTCTTTATTGGTCAGGTTAACTTTGATCGTTTTATTACTGAGACATTGTAGATAAATAACAGTTCAGTAGTGTTTATGTATCCACTTCATGTTGGAAAGCTAAAAGCTTACAGTATAATTGAGGTTTCTATCAATTATCTTAATTGGATTATGAATGAATTGTTAAAAAGATGGACATATCATTTTGACAAGGAGTTAGTTATCCAATTGACTCATGATCTCAACTATGGAAATACTGGAATCTCCACAAAAACTTCTGATAATAATCAAAATATGCAGACTAGTGACTGGCTTCAAGAGGTATTTCCTGGAGTTCTAGTGAAAAGTAGTGACCAATGGAATTCTACCACGTCTGTTGTCAGATAGGAACTCACTGTAGACAATTAGTGAACGGTTGCTCAACTTCGTGGATTGGTTGAAGTTAGACATAAACACCATGGGATGCCGGCTCAGTAGTCTATCGGTTAAGTGCTCTGGCGGGAGACTGGTAGGTCCCGGGTTCGAGTCTCGCGAGGCGAGATTGTGGACGCGCACTGTTGAGCAGTCCTATAATGAAACGAAACGGCCGTTCAGTGCTTCCGGGTTTTCCATGGTGGTCTAGCTTCAGTTGACTCATGATCTTAACTATATAAAAAGTTAGTTATCTTTTAGATAGATAAAAAGAAAGACCATACGAAATAAAAATCATCCCTAGAGTATAAGAAATTAGGTAGATCATAGTAAAACTTTCCATAGAGCTTATAACAAATTTAGATAATGTAGTGTAAACTGTATTTAAAACTGATTTAAATGAGAACTCTATTTCTTAAATGTAGTGTTCCTCTGACAACAAGACAGACATTTGAGATGAACTACAGTTCTAAACATTCCTCAAACACTATAAGCAAAGATGGATGGCAACTAGCAGTGGAATCCAGTCGGATGCACATTTCGTCCTATTTGGGACTCGTCAGCTGGATGCATCTGCATCTCAGAGTTTGTATTCATTCTGGGACTGGAAACCAGTACTGTTCTCTTCAAACGCCACCGCGTTATCCCCCTACCTACTGACTTCTGATAGCGACTAGATTGTGCAACAGGGTGAAGTTCGAATCCATTTGGTATTGTTTACTTGTTGTCGTATGTGTATCCTCTGCGGACTGCCTCAATATTACATTAAGTCACAAACTGAACGATGTCTGAAGAAAAAAATCAAGCTCTACACATACTAAAATTACAGCAAAATACTTTTACTTTCTAGTTGTTTTATCAAGAAGTTACTATGAAGTGAATCAAATGAAATTGCCAAGACTGACACAGGCCATGAAGCCTCCTGTCCTTTCCAAACTGAAACTGAAGCTGACTCACTCACTGATGTCCGAAACAACTATTCACAAATATAAAAATATTTACACATGTTTCATGACGAAGTATATAACAAAAACGAATAAATAATGTCAATATATTAACCATATTTCAGAGTATGATGAAGATGTAGATCTTACCTAACTTGGTATCAAACTTTTTAACATTATCTTCAAAATGATTACATAAATGTGTAGGATTACATTTCATTTTGTATGCTTTCACATCATTTTGAACTGTTCGATCATTATGATCTGATGTAGGTTGTTTAGGACAGATATGACTTAATATAACTGAACTTGTTTCAAAGTCATCTCTAGATAAAGGATGTTCACATGTCAAATGTTCACGAGGTTTGATATTTTCATTGCGTTGAACGTTCATATTTTGAGTTAATAACTCACAAGGAGTAATTCCTGTGTTATATGTTGATGTGATAGTTGATCTAATATGCTGGTGGCATACTGAAGTTGAATTTTTACTTGTTTTACTCGAATTAAAAGAAGGCAAACCAACAGTTGGCCTCTGAAATATGACACACAAAGATAAAATTGTTTGTACTACTAAAAGGTATTTTAAAATACATTAAAGATATACTGAATCAGTTGCTTACTTAATATACCTGGATCCTTTCCTAGGGTAATCCCTGACCAAAGTCCAGGAAAGAACGATTGAGTATGGGGTTACCTACTCGACTCCTTACAAAAATAGCTCTGCTAAAATGACGCGAACCAGAAAAAATCACTTTAATTATTTAAGATCAGCTCCGAGAGTTGAACGATCTTTACGTAGAAGAGTTATGACGCCGCATGATGAAAGCCGAGGTTCTTCGGAATAACGGGGCAGCTGCCTCTTTTAACAAATAGAGCAACAAATAATTTAGATATAGTGAGTATCTAGATAAAATATGAGACCGGAAGGACCATTTGAATAGCAGCAGAGACCAGTAGATGCAACAATGATCTGTTTGAAATAAGTGAAACCCACAAGACACAATAAGAACAAAAAGACTAGAGTTGTTGCTGTACTCTGATCATAAAGAACACAAAGGTTTGCATGGATAGTTTCAAAGAAGCGCAAAACCTCTTAACGAATGAGAATCTTGTAGCTCCGGGATCATTAAAGCATCCTCTAAAACAAAGACGAAAGGGATCGCATTGAATGTCTTTCATTACTACACACCCACCAACCACAGCAGCATAAAGAGACTGCAGACTGTCGTAGAGAACTTCCCAGGAAAAGGTCTGGCCACAAAAGTAGGCCTAAATATTCACAAAGGAAAAAATGAGATCCTAGAATACAACGCTGCAAGTACCAACGAAATCAAACTTGGTAGAAAAGCTCTGAGGTTAAACTCTTTGTATACCTGGGCAGTATCACTGATAGACAAGGGGGATCGGATGCAGATATGAAGGCACAGATTGGTAAACAAATGAAGTGTCCCTATATTTCAAAAATGTCTGGAAATCAAAAGAAGTATCTGCAAATGGAAACATCAGAATTTCCAACCCAAAAATTAATACAATTCTATTAAATAATAGAACATGGGAAAAACTAGAAAGAAATTTTGAGCCAGAGCTACTGGGGGATCCCTATTCGATACTCTATTCCTCAGGAGGGGTAACAGGCGTAATATATATATATATATACTTGAGTTGTGTTCTTGTTTTAGTACTTCTGGCTGCTTGCGGAATATGCCATACCTTCATCTGAACCAGATCTATTCCAACTAGTTAGCAAGCTTGGAGAACATCCGAATAGTTTAGCTTGTCCTGTAGTTGTTCCGTTGATCTTTCATTCCGTTCGCTGATTTTAGATGATCTCGTAATCTCTTTAAACATAAAAACATTTTCGTTGTATTACTTAGTCATTTATACTCAATAAACACTATCTATGTTATCGTCTAAAATCTAACATTTCAAATAATTCATAGATCATAAATGGGTATTGGTAAAAGTTCATGTTTTATAGGCTGAGAAAGAAAATCGACGTTAATAATTTTGCCCTTAAGCGGTATACTTCCACGACCTCTTTCCAAAGAATTGAACCTTGTGGTTTTGGATCTTATCGTGAGTTCTTACCCTTTAGTTCATTAGCAATATTGTTCAATCAATTATTCATCCTCACTGACTATATTTTTCTGAAGTATGACACATTTAAGCTTCATTGATTATGGATTCTCACTAGAATTATAGGACATAGTAGAAGAAAGCAAATGATCACTCCCTCCTAGTTTTCAAAGTTGAAATCATGAGTCGGTTAACTGCTCTGGCGCGAGACTGGTAGGTCCTGGGTTCGAATTTCATGTGGTGGGATCGTGGATGTGCACTGCTAAGGAATTCCATAATACGACGAAACGGCCGTCAAGTGCTTCCAGGTTTTTCATAGTCGTCTAGCTTCAACTGATTCATGATTTCAACTTCATAACTCACTTTGTTGATTATACATAATAAATCTAATGAAACTCATTTACTAAATTCAAGTGTTTATGTTTTGAGTAATTTTTTTCGGTTAGCGTTTTTTAGCAACAACCTACTGTGGAAGAGAACAAATCACATTCCAGAGGAGGAAGAAATTAAGAAAAAGTGTTGGAAGTGGATAGAACACACATTGAGGAAATCACCCAACTGCGTCACAAAGCAAGCCCTCAATTGAAATCCTCAAGGCCAAAGAAGAAAAGGAAGACCAAAGAACACATTACACCGAAAAATGGAGACAGACATGAAAAGAATGAACAAAAATTAGATACAACTAGAAAGAAAGGTCCAGGACAGAGTGGGTTGAAGAATGCTGGTCGGCGGCCTACGCTCCAATGGGGGTAACAGGTGTAAGTAAGTAAGTAAGGAAGTGGTTATGTATTGGGAAGTGCATTTGCATAAAATGAACCCTAAACAGTGAAATAATTTAATCAACCTTCATTCTCAGAAAGGATTTGGTCAACCGATGAATACTTTTCAAAACACTAACAATAAATAAACATCAATAATGTTTACTTCTAACTTACCGTAGAAGGTTTAGGTATAGGGAACGTTTTACATATACCATTATTTCCTGTACTGACCATCTTAGTTTGATGAAATTTATTTCGGGGAACTTTATTTTCAACAGAACCAAATGAAAGATAATGTTCTTTTTTCATTGAAGATGTATCCGTCTGACTAAGTACATTGAGAGAAGTTGGTATGTTTCCTGAAGAAAGAAAAGTTTTTTTCCATCATGATATTAAGTATTTGAATAAATATATAATGATATGATAAAACAACTGTCAACTAATTTCAAAGTGAGAATCTTCAATACGAACGTCAAGACAGTCCTACTGTACGGAGCTGAAACGTGGAGAACTACTACATCCATCGTCAAGAAGGTACAAGTATTTATAAACAGTTGTCTACGCAAAATACTCAACATTCACTGGCCGAATACTATCAGCAACAGCGTTTTATGGGAGAGGACAAATCAGCTTCCATTTGAAGAGGAGATTAGCAAAAGACGTTGGAAGTGGATGGGACATACATTAGGGAAATAACCAATGTGCATCACGAAGCAATCCCTAACTTGGAATCCGCAAGGGAGATGGATAAGAGGAAGGCCAAATAAGACATTACACCGTGAAATAGAAACAGATATGAAAAGGATGAATAACAACTGGGAAGAACTGGAAAAGATTGCCCAGGACAGAGTTGGATAGAGAATGCTGGTGAGCAGCCTATGCTGCTCCACGAGGGGTAACAGGCGTAAGTAAGTAAATATAATGATATGATATGGACATATTGACAACTCATTTAAAGATGAACACAATTGAAACTAAACAGACAATGGTAGAGACTGTTCAGTATTGGATTTAATAGTTATTCATATAAATAAAAAATTTTTAAAATTCTTTTGCCATATAAGAGAAACAATCTATCAAAGATTACTTATATCAGTTTCTAAGTTAAATTAGCAAGAGTTCATTGAAATAGGGTAGGCAAAACCTGACTCACACGTCCTCGTCGTACCTCCTGGTACATGAGACTTATCCCATGTACTAACGTGAGCGGTAAAACGGATGGTTTATTTACTTTATTTTATTTAAACACATATATATTGGTACAAAAGGGCACCAGATACATATGCGCCACACAAAATAATGAAAGTAGCAAGAGAAGGGATGAAAAGATAAGGCGGACTGAAATGTACAACCAGAAGACTCTTTCAGTTAAGAAAGTTAGAAGCACTCTTTATGTAGAAAGTAAAAGAAGGTTGCAGCAGGATCGTCACTGGCTTCTATTCTCAGCCATATCTGATAACGTCTCTAGCCACTGTGTTGCACCATCTCTCGGACCCCAGCCAGGGAGTCGTGAAGGACCAACAGAAGCTAGCCCTTTGCAGCTTTCTTTCATATCACGACACCATGTCATACACTGATCACCTCTCCGGCTTTTTCCAACCAGTCACAGAGTCGGCAAATAATGCACGACATTGAATTCTCTGGGACGACATTCGTAAAACATGTCCAAGCCACCGAAGTCGGTGTTTCAATATGGTGACACCAATTGAATTATCGTCTATGCGCCCGAGCACACGATGCGAACCTCTGCATTACTAACATGATGTTGTCACTGAATGTCAGCAATCCTTCGGAGATAACGATGATCGAACACAGAGAGTCGTCTAACATCTTCAACTCAGAGAGGCCAGGTTTCACAAGCATAGAGCAAAACTGCTCTCACCGACGCGTTGTACATCCGACCTTTTACAGCCAGACTAACATCACGAAGGCGCCAAAGATGGCCCAGATTGGCATTATCCGCCCTGGCTTTCATTATACGTGCATGACTCTCATCACTCACGCCCCCATCAGCACTTATGTAGCTACCTAGATACACGAACTTCTCAACTACTTCAATCTGCTCACCATCTAGGGTGAGTACAGGATGAGAATCCTGCCAGTCTTGTAGGAGTACTTTGCACTTGGAGGGTGCAAAGCACATGCCGTACCTGCGGACACTGATTGCCAACTGATTAAGTGCGGATTGCATGCCTTGGGCATTATCACACAGTAAGACAATATCATCCGCATACTCGAGGTCGAGAAGTCGTTCTGCAGGCAACATATACACACCGCCATTCTATTGACGATACTATTCTCGCTCACACAAATAAATGAAAAACGGTTGGTGGAGATTGGCCTAATCAACCACTTTACCTATACTCACAAATGATTACGATTGCTACAAAGAAACATTGCATAATAATTGTTGGTTCAAGAAGAAGGAAAATACGAGTCCACCCCCCCCCAAAAAAAGAGTGAATGATGTAATGATTCTGCGTAAGCAATACAAAAACAGCTATTGAGCCTTGGTAGTTGTTCCGTGCTTCGATGTAGCACTCTTCTCCAGAAGGGCCTACTAGGCTTCATAACAAGATGCAAAAAGCTTTGAAATATGATGACTTAGAAAGAAGGAACCTTAGTAGAGGAAAACTTGATGAAACAATGAATCAGTACATATTGTTGAAAAATCTGCTATTATTTAATTACTTGAGGTTTCTTCAAGTGTAAAATCATTCCAAACCAAAAAAGTTAACTTAGTAAGTAGCTATTTTAGTAATTGTATTACTAATAACAAAAAAGTAGTATAACCTAACAAACAAAAGTTTAGGCTGCAACACCATACAAGACAGTGGTAATCCTGCTCTGTTTCCATTATTTACTCTAGAAATCAATTTCCTATATCTTTACTTGACATGTAAACTACTTAGCATTAGTGATGACGCTTCTTTTTGAATAGTCCAGCCACGTCAGTGCTAGGCAGTACCGATTCATTACATGTTTTCTAAATTAATGTATAGTTTCAGTTTAGAAAAAAAGAATATAAACAACATAGGATCTAGTTAGTTACCATATCAGTTAGCCTACTTCATAAGAGAAAAAAAGACACAAGATAAAAATGAAACTCCTAACGACAGAAATAAGTATAAGAAAGAACAGTAAAAAAAAAGCAGAAAAAAGAGAGGAAAGCAAAGGATTAACTGATGAACGCACTTGTACTAGTGAAATTTACTATGGATCATATCATTTATCATAGGCGCAGTACGTCAATTCAGACAATCGTAATACTTACTAATAAAAAATATTTGATTTCTATCATCACTACTCATTAAGGAAATCACCCAATTGCGTCACTAGACAAGCCCTCAATTGGGGTCTTCAAGGTCAAAGGAGAAGAGGAAGACCAAAGAACACATTACGACGTGAAATGGAGACAGACACGAGAAGAATGAACAACAACTGGATAGAACTAGAAAGGAATTCCTAGGAAAGAGTGAGTTGGAGAATGCTGATCGGCGGCCTATGCTCCATTGGGAGTAATAGGCGTAAGTAAGTAAGTAAATATGACCACTACTGATGATTTTCAAGTTTTCCACATTATCTACAATTAAACAGCTGTCAAATACTTCCAGGCTTTCAACGGTAGTTTAACATTGATCTATTCATGATATCAATCCAAACTCAACAATCTCCACAACCCTCTATGTCTTAAGCACATAAACTCAGATGTTTTCATATATGTGTACAGAAAGTAGGGTGTTGATAAGGAAGAAAAATATGCACAATTTTCTATTAATCTTAATCCATGTACGTATATAAAAATATTAAATTAATCATTTAACTTGACCTACGTAATACATGATTGAAATGAGATAATCCGTGCCCAGTCATGGATAAATTACTATATTGTGAAGGTATATATTCAGGTAGGTTGTTTGATTGGATTTTGGAAGTAGCATAGTGCAGATATGGCGAATTATGAGTAGTATAATGTGTAACTATTTGTATTCCAGAAGAGAAGATTGAAGGACAAACTTTAGATAATGCTATATTCATACCATCAGATACCGATTTACATTCAGTAGTTAACAAATCATTCTGAGTCTTTAAAAAGAAATAAGATAGAAATTGATATAACTATAATGGAACAATTATAACATTTAAAATGTATCTTAATCTAGGTGGAGGTTAGAGTAATCTAGTTGTATGAAATTAACCACTTCATAGCAATGACAACAAAATATAATAAATATCGTCTTCATGTGTAAGAGTACTTTTCCGATCTAGATCAATAATTATAGGAAATAATGCCCTGATACGACCGACATTGGGAAGAGCTCACTCCCCCTCTCGAAATACTCTAACATGGCCACGTGTATATAGCCTCTGACAGGGAAGTCCTACTCACTGCCTTCTCGTGGCATTACTATTGTTTACGAAATTGACAGGACGAAAAGCGAATGTCCGGCGCTTTAAGCGGGTCGATGGACACGGCGCGTCCACCTAGGGGAGTTGGAAAACCGTGATTCAAAACCAATGGTGCACATGGGCTGGCTCCAGTACCCTGAGGGAACAAATGGAGTATGAATCAATCGTTGGTCACCGGTTACCATAGGACTGCATCTCCTTACGATGCTCCACTGCTTTGTGAATCAGACCTTTAGGTCAAAGGCTCGTGGTGTGGAAGCCTAAGAAAAACATCTGATTTAGTTTAGCAACCTAGGCAGTATCGCAGCACTTACACAAATCAAATGAGATTTGTGTGGCGCATATATATCTGGTGCTACTTTGTACCAATATTTATGTATTTAAATAATAATGATAATAAACAATACAGATTAACCTATAATTATTCAAGGTTGACAGAAACCAGTTTGGTGAGACAACAATTTACGGACGACCTTCGAGAGACGGTAAAGTGATCTTCAGAATGTTCACCTATTAACTAGGATTAAATGATGGTTATAAACCAGTATGAAAAATTAAAATATTGATTTACAGTTAATGGTTAGAGTTGCCAACTAGATTTAGAGTTTTCATCACAAACTGTCATCAGCTAAAATGTTAAGACTCTATTTAGCTAAATGAATAAATGAATTTAGCGCCAAAATTCATAACCTCTTATCTCATATATGATTGATTCGTTCATAAATCATAATTTCGCCATCAGTTTTTATAAAAAGAACAACTTTAAGAGTTTTCTTTAAATAATCTGACAAATAAGGTTTTCTTGTATTTCTAGAAATCAATAAGTATTGAACATCGAATAATCCGGAACTCATATTCAAGTATACGGAACAAGAATAATGTACAGATTATGAATGAAGTCAAAAACAAAGACGTAGAATAATAAGAAACTTTATACTTAAATTATTCATCAACATACTACTCAATAAGAAATTCCATAAGTAAGGGTATATTTCAGTATTAGATTATGGGAAAAAATACAATTAGAATAAATTTGAAATGGTGATAATATTGTAGTGAACAAAAAATCAAGTACGGCAAACCAACTCATTGTTTTATGTAAGATCATATAATGATTTTGTAAAATATGAAAATCATACATGAAATATGTTATTTACAGGTCATTCAGTTGTCATTTACATACTGTATCGTCGTTTTAAGTCTATTATTATTCTAATTGCTATTTGTATTCTTTCCTATTCTCTTTATATCAATCTTCTTCTAGTAAGCATTTCATTCCATATTCCTGTTACATACTACTTATATTTGTCCACATCAGATGTTATATTCTAGTGAAGACATAAGTACGGTTAACTTCCAGGACCTATTAATAGACGATTATTCTAGATATATATTTTTATTGTTTAACTATTGAGTAATTAGATTGCGTATATCTATATTCATCTTATTATAAGATTCATTTTGATTTATGAATTATTATTGTGGAGATTTTAGTAATTTTATATAGTTGAAATTATGAGTAAATTGAAGTTAAACCACTATGGAAAACCTGCCAACTGGACGGCTGAGAATTCCCACAATAGGACAAAACGGCCGTACAGTGCTTCCAGATTTTCCATGATGGTCTAGCTTCAATTGGCTCATAATTTCAACTATAAAATAAGGAATTTGATGAAAAGTTTTTAATTATTTTAGATTTACTACTAGTTACTACTGAAAAAAAAATCAATAAATTTAATAGACTTACCGTTTTACAAATATTTATCTTATTTGTGGTTGTTGTTGTTGTTGTTGCTGATGTCGTTGTTGTCATGGTTGACAGTATATCACTTTGTATAGAGGATGTAAATGATTTGGAAATCTCATCCAATTTTATATCGGTATTTTTCATTAATAAATTATCGAATTCATTATGTATATCATAACAATAAGATGAAATTTCTTTATCTAAAAATGATAATAAATATAAATTAGTCGGTAAGAGTAGAGGATATTCGTAGGCTATTAGTATTCGATCATGGCCTCTCCGAGTTGAGGATGTTAGACGACTCTCTGTGTTCGATCATCGTTGTTTATGAAGGATTGCTGACATACAGTGTTACGTACTGAAATCGAGCAAAGCTTGCGTAAGGACCGAGAAGCCTGGTGGTCGGAGCGTGCTAATGAGATGGAAGCAGCAGCTGCATTTGGTAACTGCCGGAAGTCATCGACGACATCCTGGAAACAGCTCTTATGGATGTAAGTAATGGCGGTGTGGATCTGCTGCCTGCAGAACGACTTCTCGACCTCGAGTATGCGGATGATATCGTCTTACTGTGTGATAATGCCCAAGGCATGCAATCCGCACTTAATCAGTTGGCAATCAGTGTCCGCAGGTAAGGCATGTGCTTCACATCCTCCAAGTGCAAAGTACTCCTACAAGACTGGCAGGATTCTCATCCTGTACTCACCCCAAATGGTGAACAGATTGAAGTAGTTGAGAAGTTCGTGTATCTAGGTAGCTACATAAGTGCTGATGGGGGCGTGAGTGATGAGAGTCATGCACGTATAATGAAAGCCAGGGCGGATAATGCCAATCTGGGCCATCTTTGGCGCCTTCGTGATGTTAGTCTGGCTGTAAAAGGTCGGATGTACAACGCTTCGGTGAGAGCAGTTTTGCTCTATGCTTGTGAAACCTGGCCTCTCTGAGTTGAAGATGTTAGACGACTCTCTGTGTTCGATCATCGTTATCTCCGAAGGATTGCTGACATTCAGTGACAACATCATGTTAGTAATGCAGAGGTTCGGCATCGTGTGCTCGGGCGCAGAGACGATAATTCAATTGGTGTCACCATCTTGAAACACCGACTTCGGTGGCTTGGACATGTTTTACGAATGTCGTCCCAGAGAATTCAATGTCGTGCATTATTTGCCGACTCTGTGACTGGTTGGAAAAAGCCGGAGAGGTGATCAGTGTATGACATGGTGTCGTGATATGAAAGAAAGCTGCAAAGGGCTAGCTTCTGTTGGTCCTTCACGACTCCCTGGCTGGGGTCCGAGAGATGGTGCAACACAATGGTTAGAGACGTTATCAGATATGGCTGAGAATAGAAGCCAGTGACGATCCTGCTGCAGCCTTCTTTTACTTTCTACATAAAGATTGCTTCTAACTTTCTTAACTGAGAGTTCTTCTGGTTGTACATTTCCGTTCCCCCCATCATTACTCTTCTCTTTTTTTCATCTTTTTTTTCTTCTTTTATATAAACGCATCTTCCCCCTTTCTCCTTTCATTCTCATTATTGTGTGTGGCCCATATGTATCTGGTGCCCTTTTGTACCAACATGTATTTGTTTAAATAAATAATAAAGTATTCGATCATAGATGTCTACGAAGCATTACTTGTATATCCTAGGACTACTGCGTAAGTAATGCAGTTGTTAGGAAATGGATATTAGGTAAGCATGGCAAATCGATTGATGAATTAGTGAAACTTCATCAGTTGAGATGGCTGAGACATGTGTTACGTATACCCAACTAATGAATGCCCTGAGGTGCAATGTTTGATGGTGTAGGCCGTGATCCAATGGTTTTAATGTATAACTACAAACAACTCACAAAATTGCTCAACAGAAATAATATAATGCACATGTTGTACTCAGTAAATTTATTTCTACGCTCACGTTTGTGTAGTACAATACACTACTTATAAATATTTAGTATTTTCACAGTTGAAATCATCAGTCAATTGAAGCTAGACCACCATCGAAAACCTGGAACCACTGGACGGCCGTTTCGTTCTATTATGGGACTCCTCAGCAGTGCGCATCCACGAACCCGCTCTCGCGAGCGAGATTCGAACCCAGGACCTACCAGGCCGTCCAGTGCTTCCAGGTTTTCGATGGTGGTCTAGCTTCAATTGACTCATGATTTCAACTGTGAAAATACTAAATTCTCCACAAAACCCCCTCTGAAATGTTTAGTAGTTCATGTTTTTGTACTGCGATGGATTGTTAATCTAATACATTCATATTTTTTATGCGAAGTTTTACTCCTTTTCATCACTTATCATACCATTTTTTTCACTTTCTCATTATTAAGTATTTATCATATAAGTTAATTACTCAAGCAGCTGATATATTTTCAATGTACAATAGTGAATTCCTTTCATTAGAACTATTAGATGTTATGGAGACAACCGTGTGATGAACTCCAGTCTATAGTAAATGTCATTATTTTGTTCTAGTCTAATTTATTGAAGAATGGGATTTCTCCTCCCTCTTAACAGAGTTCAATACGCTTGGACACCTTATGATTCGAGGTTGGTAAATTTTATTGCTATTTTCTACAATAATACCGTTTTTCAGACAAATTCGAAACCTCACACATCAAGCGAATTTTGAGTGAGAGCCTTTGAAAGGATCCTGTACAGAGACTAATGTATGGTCAAGGCGACAGTTCTTAAATCTGATTCAACTAAAGTTTATATAATCTTGTATGTTCAATAAGCTTTCCACAGTAAGTCATAATTGTGAACTTAACAATAAATAATACTCAGGAAGGGGTTTCTTGGATATTATAGTAATTTAATAGTTGAATTCATGAATCAATTAAATCTAGACCAACGTGCAAAACGTGGAAGCACTAAAGGGCTTCAAGAGGTATTTCCAGGAATTCTAGTGAGAAGCAGTAACCAGTGGAGTTCAATCGGGTCTGTTGTGAAGAAACTGGTAGGCGGTGGCGAAATTTCATCGATTGCTTGTAGTTAGACATTAGCACTAGTGGTCTAGAGGTTAGGCGTTCGCATGTGACACCGAAGGTCTTGGGTTTGAATTTCATCAGCAGGATCGTGGATGCACATTGCTGAGGAGTTCCGTACTACGACGAAATGACCGTCCAGTGGTTCCAAGTTTCCCATTGTTGTCTAGCTATAATTGACTCACGAATTAAAAATATTCAATAAATAATACACATAATTGAATAGTTTATCATGAAAAAAGTGCATTACCGCAATTTTCATCCATTATAACACTACTTCTACAACCTTCCGATTCTGCATCAAAACCATTTTGATAGCATATGTTTTCATTTAATGGTGTTATTGTTGTAATAGCTGAGTAATTATTCGTATCTATAATAAAAAAATAAACCAAGAATAAGTATACAATGAGACTTAATACACTTAAGAATTCAGTCAACAACAACAACAAATTGATGAGTACTGTTGCTTGATCGAACAGTTAAGAACCATGGTATGTCACGGTCATTGGCTTTAAAATATGTTGATAGATGCAGTTGGATAACTGCAATCATTGGTTAGAAATCTTCGGTAACATGGCTCAAAATCCGTCACAACTGCGTAGATGGATTCACACTTTATCTTTCTGTATATCAGTATACCTTCAAAATATACCTTATGGAACCCCAATCATTAGGTTTAGTCATCCTCGTTGTCATTCGTACTATATTATTGAAAATTATTTGTTATACATCTAGTTAATTTCATCACATCGTGTTGATTTGTTATGGCTACTTAGAATTAAGTTGAAGAACATATGTAACTCAAAACAATTGTTCGCAAGCCAACATCAAAGTCAAAATCTTCAATACGAACGTCAATACAGTTCTACTGCACAGGGATGAAACTTGGAGAACTAGTACAACCATCATAAAAAAAGTACACGAATTTATAAACAGTTGTCTACGCAAAATACTCGATATCCGTTGATCGGAAACCATCAGCAACAATCTACTGTGTGAGAGAACAAGCCAGCTCCCACTGGATTATATTCCTTCAATAACATCTTCAAACCCTAATCTTTCCAACTACTACTTATACTCTTACTACTTCTGCCACTATGGGATTTCAATCAATAACTGCATCTCTGTGTTAATGTTGTATGGCAACTCGAACTGATGTACATACGTACAAAGTTCCACGTTGTGATTGACTGACCTAGTTAGATTTGGTATATACATTTTAATTAAAGTGAAAATTGCAATAATACAACTAACCTTGTATTGATGAAAGCACACCATCTACAATATAACACATTTCTTCTGATTCATTAAAATTATTCAAAGGTAATTGAGATAAATCCTTTGAACATATTGACGGTTGAATTGTTGAAATTCCTTGTTTAGGTATATTATCTTTTGTGTGTAATAAAGAATCCGTTACTACATCGTTCAATACAGATGTAGTCTTCAATGAAGATAAATCATGCTGCTTATTTCCTAAAGGTGACTGTAATTCGTCGTCGTCATTATTATTATTTTTAATTAATTCCTTCACATGTCTGTAGTTACTTTCCACTGAAGGATTCACCAAAGTTTCCTTGAATTCAAATTATAATATAAAAATTAGTTTGGTTAACTTGTAGAACTATACAGCTACATACTGAAATAGCCAAGTCAACGATTAAAGCAAATGTCCAAAGACAGCAGAACATAAGCCTATGATGAAAAACATCTCTAAATTTAAAAAAATCTATTTAAGTCAATCAATTGAATAGTAATTTAATGAATGCTATTATTGTAGTGTGGTCTACTTATTACATCCATATAAGTAGTATATGGTGTTGGTCAGACTTAGAATGTATTTTGGCAGAAGATCGATAAGGAAAGAACAGGAATGAAGCGCAATCGGTACGGAAATGCATGATCAATGAAATCAGAGAAGATGAACTGATATTTGCAGAAGGAACAGTTAAGGTTAAGACAATTGATTTTTATTTGGCAAATTAACTGTTTACTGTATGGTTGTCAGATTCTAGTGAGATAGTCTGTAATTTGTGTTTTAATATATTCGATTGTCCCCACTCGTGCTCTTGTTCACTATATTGTCATAATTCTAGATTACTATTCTATATTTCTTATTGGAATTTGGAACCCATAGACATAGGTCGGAAATCATATTGATGGCGACAGTGACCAATAGATAATGACACCACGACATTATGATTTAAATAGAGTTAGAAAGTTCGGTTGAATGAAACAGTGTAATCTGTATACTACAAAGGTGATGGGTATAAATAACTGTGAGGTCAAGAAGTTTCATTGCTCAGGAATATAGTAAGCAATACCGAGGTAAACGTATGGATTTATGTAAGCGTAAGTAAATTAACAGTTGACGTTATGAATCTATTACAAGTGAAGATATTGTGTCGAATGCATTTGTGGTCGATTATTTAAAAGTACCTAAAAACAGAGAGGCTGCTTCGATGACAGATCTCTGATATGAAGTGTCGAGATTGAATTGATAAGAAGGGATGTCCATGCTAAGCTTTCTGTATGATAGCGTTCACCAATAAATAAAGTGCATTTCGAAAGCTGATTAAATTGATGTTAGGTCAAAGAATTGAACTGATATCAATCTGATATATCTTGTTTAAGTAAGCTGCGAATGATCAAGATGAAAACACACATATTTAGCTACGTTCTGCATACAAGCTTTTATATCATAAAAAATATCGCGTAATTTCGTGAATTATTTGATGTAAGGCATCATTACCGCTGGACGCCTGCTTAGTGATTTAGAGGTTAAGCGTTACCGCGCGAGACAGAAGGTCCTGGGTTCGAATCTCGCGTATGAAATCGTAGATGCGCACTGTTGAGAAGTCCCATACTAGTGTAGTGAAAAGAACACTAGTTGGGGACAATCGAATGTGTTTAAGCAAAATTACAGACTATCTCAGTAAATTCTGATAACCAAACAATGAACAGTCAATTTGCAAATTAACAACCAATTGTTTCAATCTTCACTGTTTCTTCTCTAATTCCACTGCTCATGCATTTCACAAACGATTGCGCTTCATTTCAGTTCTTTCCTCATCGGTCTTCCGCCAAAATACATTCTATGTCTGACCCACACTATATACTACTTATATGGATATAAGTAGACCACACCACACTAGGACAAAACGGCCGTTCAGTGCTTCCACGTTTCTTATGATGGTCTAACATTAGTAGATTCATGATCTACATCATAATGATTTATACGTTAATGTTAACTCCAAACAGAAGATTTCTTTCATTGACCTCTTATATTTAAGAGTTATAATATACAAAGGATATAGCTTGTTACAAAATCTCATTACCAATCAACTGAATATTTTTTTTGTCTAAGAATTTGTTTCACAGTTGAAAGTAATTTAATGGTTAATGTTTGAACAATCACTAGTGAGCATACGTTGATTATTAGCAGAAGGGGTTTTGTGGATATTATAGTAATCTCAATAGTTGAGATAATGAATCAATTGTAGCTAGACCCCCATAAAAGACCTTAAAGCACTGGCCGACCGTTTCGTCCTATTGTAGGACTTCTCAGCAGTGAGCATCCATAATCCCGCCTGACGAGATTCGAACCCAGGACCTATCAGTCAATAGGTTACTGTAAAAAATTTAACTTCTAAATCTTACCTGTTCATTATTATTGTCATTGATATCACTATCCTTCTTATTCGTTACGTCATTTGTAATCATTTGATTGTTTATATCAATGGATTTCAACGCTTTCATTGTTCGAATACATAGTTCAGGTGATTCATTTTTTAACCAATCATTATTAAAGGATGTAATTGTTTGTAATTTAGTTACATCATTATCTATATTCAATAATAGATGATCTAAATGTTGTCGTAGATATTCTTCAGAAGATTGAGTACCTTTCCAAACATTATCTAGATGATTATGGTTATGTAATTCAATGACAGATTGACTTTTATTTAGATTCAATTTTTCTATATTATCATAATCATTTTCATCATTTAGACTAAATTCACTACTATTACTGTTTAGATTATACTTTATAAGATCTTCATCATCAATATTGAAACAATTCAATGGTGATAGAGGATGATGATCATCATCATTTATTTGATCAATTGAATAATTCAATGGTAAATTATGTATTTCATCTTCAGGATCTGGACTAGATATAAATGAACCATGATTAATTGTAATTGAAGAGAATTCAGCTGAAATGAAATAGACAATAATGATTTTGTTGTTGTTGTTTTCAAACTAACAATTAATGAAATATATAAAATAACAAAGATCAGTTTAGAGAAAAGTTCTTGTTTTGGTACAATAGCAAATGGATAAGATACACATTGAAGGAAGCACCCAACTGCGTCACAAAACAAGCCTTCACATGGAATCCTGAAGGCCAAAGGAAAGGAGGAAGACCAAAGAACACATTACTCCGAGTAATGGAAACAGACATGAGAAGAATGAACAAAAAAATAGATAGAACTAGAAAGGAAGGCTGAGTTCAGAGTGGATTGGTGAATGCTGGTCTGCAGCGTAAGTATGTAAGTAATTAACAATCACAAATATGTATACTTATTGTTTCAGGATGACAATAATTACAATACTGTTGGAGATGTTAGATCCCCAGAACCCACTTGGTAAAATAAGTCTATTTTTGTAATTTTTTGAAAATTTGAATTTCTTTCTTTTCGCGCTAAAGCGCTCTTTTCACCTTCATGTGGTATTTCCCAATAGTGAAAATCTTAAACGCTATAGGTCTGTTGTATCTTTTATTAAGTTATTTTGTAACGTTTCGCAAGGACAGTTTTGTAGTGTATATATATATGTTTGATTTCTTCCTGTTGTGATTATTTGTGCTTCTGGCTGCTTACGGAATACATCTTCCCCACTTCCAACTTTACACAAAGGAAAAAGCGAAATTCTCAAATACAACACGGAGAACACCAACCCAATCACACTTGATGGTGAAAATCTGGAAGAGATGGAAACGTTCACGTACCTGGGAAGCATCATTGATAAACAAGAAGGATCGGATGTAGATGTAAATGCGAGGATTGGCAAAGCAAAGGCAGCATTTCTACAGTTGAAAAACATATGGAACTCAAAACAACCGTCAACTAACTCTTCAATACGAACGTCAAGACAGTCCCACTGTACGCAGCTGAAACGTTGAAAACTACTACATCAATGTACATGTATTTATAAACAGTTGTCTACGCAAAATACTCAACATCCATTGACCGGATACTATCAGCAACAGCCTTCTGTGGAAAAGGACAAAGCAGCTTCCAGATAAAGAGGAAATTAGGAAAAGACGTTGGAAGAAGATAGAACATATATTAAGGAAATCACTAATATGCATTACAAGGTAATTCCTTGACATGGAATCCGGAAGGGAAGCAGAAAAGAGGAAAGCCAAAGAACACATTACGTCGGGAAATAGAAGCAGATATGAAAAGGATGAATAACAACTGGAAAGAACTGGAAAGGAAGGCCCAGGACAAGATTGGATGGAGAATGTTGGTGGGTGACCTACGCTCCTCGACGAGGAGTAGCAGACGCAAGTAAATACTTCCAACTTAGACTTCTCACTTTAATTAGCGGGACCTAAAACAACGGATTACAATAGCCTATCGTGTCACTGTATCTTTGAACTTCGTTCAGTTTATCGAGTAAGGTGAACTCGTAATAGCTTCAAGTATATCAAATACATACAATAGTTACAATAACAGCGATAATAAAGTCCTGTTAAATATAATAACAGTCAGGTAGAATAAACAAAAGCATTAAAACGTTATTTTTTTTTAATCAGGGAAACGAATAATAGTTTTATTGTTAAGGGTTTGAATATTCATCATTGAAGATAAATAGGGAAATTATAATTGGGAAGGGAAAGCTCAGCATAATAAGATAAAATGTTGAATAAACATAAGCAAACCAGTGGAGAGTAAAAGGTCTATACAGAAGATAGGAGAGGAAGTATATGGCTATAAAGAGAGAAAATTATGAGACATTAAGACCATGGTAGAAGAAAAGGTTGTACCGATTTCTTTTGGACATATAGTTCTGGTTTTTCCAGATGTATATCTATTTTCAGAATGGAGTTTTGGTGGAGATTTTAGTAATTTCATATAGCTGAGATCATGATTCAATTGAAGCTAGACCACCATAGAAAACTTCGGTTAAGTGCTCTGGCGCGAGACTGGTAGGTCCTAGGTTCAAAATCCCGCGAGGCAGGATCGTGGATGCGCACTTTTGGGGAGTCCCACAATGGGACAAAACGGCCGTCCAGTGCTTCCAGGTTTTCCATGGTGGTCTAGCTTCAATTGATTCATGATCTCAACTGTATAGCTATCGCTCCAGCAATGTTAAGAAGATGTATTATGACTACCTTTGGCAGCCTATCCCAGTTATAATTTCTCATCTATCTTCATGATTAATACTCAAACTCTTAAGAATAAAACTACTATTCATTTCCATGATTAAAATTAAAGAAACGTTTTAATGCCTTTGTTTGTTCTACCCACACTGTTATCATGTTTAACAGGATTTTATTATCACTATCATCTTCAAAAAGGGGAAGAAAAAAGTATCTGTTTGCGATTGTAAAGTTTCGAGAATGAATCCACCGTAAACAGAATTCTTCACTGAATCAATCTTCCTTATTTTATGTCTTCATGGGTATATTCATTCTAATTAAACCAAAACAATTTACTTGACGAGAAATCCACAGGTATAAACATTAACAATTTATGACATATGAATCCCTATACATATCATTCCATTCGACAACTTGAGTGCCAATATTCATACAGATCACTATTCCAATCTTTGATACTAGATATTCGTGAAGAACAAACATTTTAGTATGTTTTATTTTTATTATTCAAATTCATTGAAAAAGTTGAATAAGAACTAGATCACATAATCCAACTGAGGTATTTCCAGATGATGTTATACCAACAACCACCATTCTAAGAAGTATAAGTGATGTTGTATAGTATCCTTGTGGCATTAAAAGTCAATAATTTGTTGTGATCAATTTTTAATTTGATCCCCAAATAAACAACAATGATTACTTTGTATTCATTTTGTGATTTTTACTAGTTACTTCTCATTGTTATTTAAGACTGTAATTCATCAGTCTCTTTTTAGCATATGTGCATCCTGTGAGGATTGCTTCAATATTGCCTGAAGTTATAAGCTTCATAAGCATTGATGGATAATGGCTAGCAGTGAAATCCAGTTTGATGCACGTTTTGTCCTATCACTTTGAAAACATTTTCTAATCTTAGTAAGTATGAGTGAAAATATTTCTTAAATAAGTTTCCCCTTTAAGGTCAACGTCAGTTAGTTAACTCTTTCTAACTGAACAGTATAACAACTTAGTTTGATACTCTAATCATTACAGAAGTTTAGTGATTTATCTACTGATGAAAATGTTTTTTCAAAGACAAACAAACTAGCCTAATCAGACTATGTATGTTATGCCCCGATAACAATAGTGAATGGTAACTTTGGGGTCAATTTATGGACCAATATTAAGCATATATTTTTTATCGTATAATCGCTAACTAACTAAACTATTCATATTCGTTTCCCCCTTATTATAAGCTTTACTTTGACCTATAGACTATTATTGTACGATTTACCATTCTTAAGTTATCCCTAGTCTATTAATTGCTGCCTCCCACATTCACAACCACAATTGGCTGAATCCTGTACAAATGTTATTTCCTATTTTGTTGGTACCATGTGGTCAGTTTGTTTGGTATATAAACTCAGTATGTTTGAAATACAACGATTCATACTACAGAGGCTGCTATTGGTGTTCTGGAATTAACTGGTTGGGCTATATAGAAAGCCAGACTGATTAGCATTCTAGATGGTTCGTACAGCGTTCGTGTTTCACTGTTCCAATCGATAATTCGCTACTCTCTGATTGCAGGTTTTATCAAGTAGTACGTTAACTGAGCATCCACTCGGCCACAAGATATAACAATGTAACATGAGTTCCATATCTTTAAAAATGATGAATAAAGTCAACTAATTACAAGTAAGAACTTACGAAATCCTTTTTTCTTTAATGATGCTTCATTCTGATTTCTATTAGAATTAGTTCTTCTATTAAAGTTATATTTTCTACGAACTGTATAACCATATACAGAAGATGGAGAAATATGTGGACTAGAAGATGGCCATGTCATTGTCATATTGACATCGTAATTTGTGCAATCAACATAATTAATAGGATGACAAGATAGACTAGAATGTGAAATAATTCTTGGAACACCTAAATGATGCGAAGCTATATCTCCAGCATAATCCCATTTTAAAACATCATGATTATCGGAAATTACATCTAGTTGAGCATAGTTATCTTTCTGTTGCTTTCTGTTAAAAGATCCCACAGTTTGACTGGAAGAAATCAGTTTCTATAGTGTAGAAAATAGGTTTACAAGTAAAATATATAACAGAGATGCTGAACACAGTATAAAGTCTATTCAAAAGGATATACAGGATATAAGACCCTAGAGTAGTTGTCTTCAATTCGTCAATTTATGCAAAACATCGAATAACTTGTAGGGCCAGTGAAATGTCACTGAACCCTAGCCAAATCATCCAGCAGTTAGGTCACTGAATGTCGAACAGATAATCGATCCCCGTCAAGGACAGTCAGCGCACATCAGTTATTCATACGCCATGGACTGGCCCATGCGGCAGTGGTTCTACTTTCTCTTTCATCTACTTTAATATATTCCTGTAATAACATCCCTTATATTATGCAGTCTTCAGAGCATCCATGGTCCCTTAATTCGTCGATGGGGCAATCCACGTAAGGTGTTGGTCGCGAGATGTGACTTCGAAATTAGCTTGTTCGTTACACCGTACCCGTCTTACTTGAGTAGGCCTCTAATCATTCGACATAGACCATAAACGTTGATGGTCTACAAACTTTTTTTTATACATATTAACTACTTATAAACAAAATAGTAGTAATGGTGGCAAAAGACTTCTTACGGAAATTTCGATAATTAGAATAAACTGTGTATGAAATTCTCATAAACCAACACAAGGCGAATTCGTGACTATTACATCTGTTTGTTAATACAATTATATGGTAAGCTGTAGACAGATGCGCTCCATACAGAGGTTAAATATCAACAAATATGACTGTTTTGGTGGCTATCACCACTCAATGGCCGAGTAGATAACGCGATGGCGTTGGAAGCGAAACGTACTGGGTTCGAGTCCCAGAGTGAACATCAACAACTGAAATGCAGGTACATTCAGTTGACGAGTCACAAATAAGACGAAACGCGCATCAAACTGGATTCCATTGCAAGCCACTATCAATCTTTGTTTATAATACTTGTGAATTAGGGCTATATCGAGACAATACGCACAGTATGCACATATGCCAATCACAGAGAGACTGATCAATTGTAGTCCTAAACATCAACGGGAAGATTCAAACAAGCAATACTAAATGAATCTGTTTTGGTGTGGTTTAAAATTAAAAAGGGTCATTATTATCCAAAATTAGTTTCAAATACAAATTTGGTAATATGAGGGTTTAGTGTTTAAAAAAAGCCCATACTTCAACCTAGTATTATGTTCCGCGATCCTATGAAACCACTATTGCTCTCCTTAAACTTGATTAGTAAACCGTGCAGAGGAAGAAAAACAAGACTATGTAGACAGCTTTATTCCCAAGATCCAAATAGTGACGTTTACCACTGATGGATAGTCATGTATGTAGTGACATTGGCTAGATTAATAAGTCACCTGATCTCAAAGCCCATTTACATTTGTTGCATATCAATTAACATGCTCGTTTTCTTCAACGTACTACACCACTACAATTTCCTCCTCTATCACTAGATTACTTATTAGGGTACATAGTTATCACATACACGTCATATCTACCAAGTGGTAGCTGTTAGTGTGGTTTGAAATCTCATCCTAGTCGTTTGAAAAATGGAAATGAATTAGTATGTAAAACTCACACTTCTTCACCTTTGCCAACTCCAAATATCCTCCCACCAGGATCCCTTACGTTAGGTTTCCTTTATTTTTGTTGCGGTCAAACTCATTATAGAATTTTTTGTTCATTGATTTTTCTGATATTGTTTTCATTATTTTAAGGACATCATAGTTATTCTCGTATGCAGTGATTGTTTGCCTGTCCGGTGTTCCTTGAACGTCTAAGAAAACTAGTTATTACCTGGTTTTTCATGTTTAATTAACTAAACCAGACGAAAAGAATAGAAAGCTATTGTATCTTATTCAAAGGGCAGTTAGTGATATGAGTGTTGCTTTGTTGACTTCATTAGTAAGACTTGCAATGAGAACTTAAATGGACGTGTGTATGTGTGACTCACAGGAATAACATAGTTAAAATATCTTTTACGGTTGTAAACAACTTACTTCCATCAATGGATATGCCGATGCTTTTTTGGAAATGAATGCCATTGGAGTATAGCATTTTGATTGATTTAACATTAAAGTTTCATTATTCATATCCGCTAAAAAATCCATAGAGGATTTTGCGTTTCTTACACTGCTATCTACAGTTGGGATACAGTTAGAGGGTGTTGAGGTCGTTAAATTGATTAGTTCATTAGGAACCAGTGACATAAATGAAGTCTGTAAATAAAAATAAAAAATTGTAGCTGTCATAGACTAAAAAAGAATGCCAGTTTTAATCAGTCAGTCAGCTACAACGTAGGACCAGGTACATATATGCATCGGGCCAAGTCGCCATAACCTCACTCATTAGCACAACAAGATCCACACCAAATTCATAGAAGTAGTTAATTTAGTGATGGTAATATATAAAAGAAACATAGTATATAAGGATATAGTACAGGGAGAAAGATAGATATAAAGTAACTTTAATCTCAAAGTTTAAGAGAAGACGGAGAGTATATACACCTGCGCCATTGTGATCGATTCTGAACCATGTCACCCAGAGTTTCCAACCATTGGTTACGATAGTCACACGGACCTCATCCAAGTAGTCTGCATTCACCAACATGGCTCAGACTATAAGTCAGTGACTTCAAGCACTGGTGCCACGTTTTGGTTTGGTCGCTCCTAACTCTCTTCCAACCATCCCCTATACTAGTCAATATTGCGCGTCGTGGTAATCAGTGTTCAGGCATACGTAACACGTAGCCCAACCATCTCAGTTGATGAAGATTCATGACATCATCAACTGGTTTACCGTCATTCCTTAACACCCTGTGTCTAACCCCACTCACTATTACTTACCCGGTGTTCCCAGCAGATGCTAGCAATATTTCTAAGGCATCTGTGGTTAAATAGTAGTAACTTGTGAGTATCTTCTACTCTTAATAGACACGATTCACAGTACACCGAATCTCACAACATCAAAACTTTGGTAAATAGTTCTGTCATAGCACTCTCGTAAACTGTTTGAGTAAATGAACACATCAAAATCCACAACTGACATCATTTATTTCATTATTTCAAGCTCATTTTACACCATAGTAATGCATATCGGTTTTTTCTGTGAAATCACTAATTCCAATCAAAAGATTATTATATACATCTGTTACCAATATTAGTCTATATACTTAAAAATGTATTGATGACCAAATAAATTTGACAACATAAATGTTGAGGTGATTTGAACATGACCTTTCTGTGCAAAAAAGTCACATTCAATGACCTATTCTATCATAGCCTTGGCAAATTGTAAGTGCGAATTACTGTCTTACAATTCATCTTCTTTTTCGTAAAGCATACAACTACTTCTTTCATTCCTATTAACTACTAAGTGCTATTAACTCTTAGACTATTACGTATCTTATGTTCGATACCTGAGATCTTTGTTAATTTTTAATTACTCTGATAAACGATACAGTACCTCGATAGGCAAAGATGGATAGTGGCTAGCAGTGGAATGCAGGACACGCGTTTCGTCCTATTTGGGACTCGTCAGCTGGATGTACTTGAATACGGTACCTCTCCATTTTCGCAGACTGTCATATTCCAAACTTGATAAAACCTGACTATCAATGACAATTTCTTTTAATAATACAACGTTCCTTTATTTTATGATAGACAACTGTAAACAAAACTAATTATAAATACTATTGCACAGCCTTAGAAAATGACGTCGTTGGAAAGAAATTTTTTCGTTGGATCATTTTTATTTGCTTCTTATTAACATAATGGGTTAACTTTGCCATCATAAAAATCATATCTTTGTGATAAATGAGAACACTTATCAACTGAAATGGTCATCGGGTATATAAAAATACATTAAATTTGATATAACGGATTGTTTAGAATATTTTTCTAACTCTCAAGTAGATTACAATAATAGGTTAATATGATAATGAAACTACTTACGTTATGTTAGATTCAGGATTCCTGACTCAGAATAGAGAACTAGAGTATAGACTAGATAATACTTCACTTAACACAATTACAAGTAGTTACTCTCAGTAATTTGAAGTAGAAATCAATGAGAGGAAAAGGAATCATATATATTGAATGATAAGTATACTGTGTGCCTTTTTTCACACTTAGTGACTAATCTTATTTTATTTTCACTACTATTGTAGTGAACAGAACATGACTGGGGGCAAGCAATTGTTTCAATCTTCACTGTTTCTTCTCTTATTCCATTGCTCATGCATTTTACAAACGATTGCGCTTCATTTCAGTTCTTTCCTCATCGGTCTTCTGCCAAAATACATTCTATGTCTGACCCACACCATATACTACTTATATAGATATAAGTAGACCATACCACACTATATATCAAGATTAATCTGTAATTAAATTATATGAAGTTATAAAGTAGAAGAATACACTCATAAACCAAATAATAGAGCCCTGTGGTTAATTGAAATGAGACCGGATTAGTGCTCTATCATTTGGACGCCTAAACTCTGACCATTAAATAACAATTTTATGCTGATATTCCTTTGTTGAAGTCTAACAAATCAACCATCAGCTAACATATAATACACGTGTACCAAACTATTATAAGATGAATAATTACTAAAAGAACACACTCAAACCCCTGAAAAATGTAGAGAAATGTTATTTTTCTATGACAATTAGTAGGGATTGTAGGTAAATAATCATAACCGAGCTAATGCTGTTAATAAAGTCAACCTCTAAAACTTATTGAAGATAGCCATGGTGGATCGAATGAAAAAGCTTACAAAATTCTAGAGTTCTTACTAAAATCAGCAAAGCAATCAAGCAAATACCATAATAGAAATTAACTTCTCATATTCAACGCTTAATTAAAGGTTTTTAAGGACTATAGTTTAGCTCTAAATGCACTCATCAAGCTATTGCTAAGTCAGATTGTTAGCGGGACATAGATCGGATTAAAGCATGTTTCATGCATGATGGTGTTGCTGCGCGCTGATTGGTTAATTCTAAACCGATCAGTCCGGGCATATTATTGCAGAAAAATCTAGAACCTTCTTTTGTGTATACTATAAATATATGAACGTTATTTAAACTAGTGATTGCTGTTGACATACCATTATTATTTTGAATACAATTTCATTCCTGTTCAAAGTGTTCTGATTTTGGGGTCTTGTTGAGTGTCATTGTATAAGAATACTAAGCGTTAGGAATAGCTGGATCGTTTATTAGCAAAATACAATTATAACACAGACTATGCAGAGAGAGAACAAAAGTTGAGTGAGAAGCTGTATTTTCTGAATCATAGTAACTACAAATTATATCCGCTTATCTATGTTCATGACAATCAAAACAGCGTACATATACATGAAGACCTTTAGTTAGGGTTATAACCGACACGTCGTGTTTTCTTACAGTGTCTGTTTCACTTACCACACTATCACGGTACGTCGTGAAACTCAAGAAGGTGTGCATGGTCTATTCGTATCATATTTATCTTCGATTTGATGATAACCTTTTGTATTCAATAGAAAATTTAGAGAGATATTTGAACTCTTGGTAAGTAAAATTGACTATAAAGGAGAGACAGAAACACGCATTGACCTCGGCTGGTGTACTGTACAACAGATAAATAATAATATAAATTTGCCACCAATAAAAAATCAATACATAGACGTACGTAAATATCGTAGCTTATGTGGAAGGTTATGACTGAATGTAATTACCTTCATCGAAGTCAAAATTACAACGTTAATCACTATAATAACTAAGGAACTCTTAATAACAGTAAAATGCATACTGCAATAGAAAAATAACAATGATAATGAATAAAATACCTCTGATTCACTTGTCAAATTTATTTGGTTTGGGCTAATTTCTGAATTGTATGGCATGGTAAATCCTTCCGGTGTTTCGCGTCTGTTGTGTAAAATTTGTGGAGTGTCCTGTTTAGAATCAGTTACTGTGGATGTTGGATCACTGGTCAGAGGACTTGTCATTGGTGTTAAATCAGGTGGAGTAGACAACGGTAAATACAAACCATAATTTTGAAATGCAGCTGGCAATGGCAAAGACGTATTGTGTTGACAGTCTTCAACCAATTTGCATTCCATCTACTTTAAAACAAGTAAAGTATGCATGTCACTATTATGCACACATTAAAGCTATTCAACAATGAAATTAAACCTAACTAGATAAATGCCTGACCGCAACTTTGGAACTTCAGTAATTCAATTTTTCATGAGGCAAACTCTGCCCTTACGATCGTTTTCCAAGTCGCTTATACTTCAGAGGAATTAAAGCTTTGATAGACTTTGCCAATAAAAGTATGCAATCAAGCTTAATAAGGTATATAAAATTATTGAATCTAAATGTTTGTGCAATAAGTTGGTCATTATTATCATTATAAATGTTTAAATAATGGTTACTTTCCCCGATCTTCATAAATCACTTGAAACTGTGAAACAGTCCATCGTAACCGTGGTTCGATTTTAATTAGTGTGTTCATCGTTTTTACCGAAACAGTAAAGATTTGAAAATTCGTTGGCTGAGAACAAGTTATATGATTAGTTTGCTTTCGGCTTACAATAAATGTGATAACTTCAGATATTTTGAACTTGGTCGATAATAATACCATACAGAGTTCACCTTCTTCCTATTTCGTCGCCTAAATTTCTTTTGACAACACATTTTGGTTATATGTTATCAGTCAAACAACTACCTGACATGAAATTAACTAGTCTCATCGAGCCTATAACCCTGACACAAACTTCCTAAATATAATTAAGACAATTTAATCTTTAAAGATTTGTCGAATTCACCATGAATAGTTAACTGAGTGGCCACAATAGTCTAAATAGGTGCAACAAATGATTTAAAGCGTAACTTAACATCAGGAAGCGAGCATTTTGACCTACAAAGGATTATCATGATATTATTAATTAGTGAGTAGAAACGACATGACACAACGAGTGAGGTTGCGAAAAGCAGGGACATATATATTTATTTGAGGCCTCCTTGATCCTCTAGACTATCTATTTTCCAATTGCGGTCATATCACAGTACATTTTCCTATTTATATGTGTTTTCAGTAACTACCTAAACATACTAAACAGTTTGGAAAGGACAGGAAGCTTGATGGTCTGTGTTGGTCCTGGCAATGATGATCTCTCAGTTGACTCGACAAGAGAAGCACTTACGCGCTTTTTCAAGGATTTTGCAAAACAGCGAGTGGTAATACTCTAAGACTAGAGAAAGATTATATCACTGGGTAGTATACTTTCCTACATATCAGGCCTTTGAAAAGCAAGCGATTATATTGGGATTAGTGTGCTATTTGTATTATTCAATGAAGTGGATACTATCGACTTTGAACTGATAGTAAACTTTTGCCAATGAAGAATAAAAGAACTTATCTAATGTGACTAAACAAGGTACTGAAACTACTATCATTGTAATTAAGTGTCAAGAATTAGTTCATGCATAAAAAATATGGGCACTCAGTGACATAAAACCCCAAAGAAATTTAAGTCTAAAACCAAAGTTTAAAATTTACACTCCTGTTAGGATTATATGTATTTTGGTGTTGACATTCTGACTTCTACGAGCATTTTTCGTATGAACCTCACTGCATCAAGTAGCGTCCTTGATTAAAAACCAAAGTGCTAGCTATCTTCATCTATATTCCTATACAACGTCACAAAACTGACATTTTAATTTTGAAAAAAACCGTTATTTTTAGAATTAACTTTTGAGAATAAATCTGTCAATTAATTGACGTTAAAGAGTTCTATCTACCGTAATTGTCCACCTTCACTGAAAACTGGTGCTTTTAAATCCTGAAACATAATGCTTATTATGTAAGTTCTTGCTAAAACGACCAGAAGAAGCTTCACGGTCAGAAGTTATCTGTACTTAAAGACATAATAATCATGCGACCTTGATTTATATGTCTCCAAACCAGTTTCTTAAAATCAGCAGTCGAGACTACCGTGGTACATCATTGAAATATTATTTTTGAAAGTATTGAAGACAAAATCATATCATTTACTATACAAGTTCTGTTCCTTGAACCAAGTTTATATGACGCTAAACACAAATAGGTGTACGACAAACTTACTAATGTAGTGATGCGAACAAACAAAGGCTCCATTCAGTATCAGTCCTGAAAGGACAGGAGGCTTGATGGCCTATATTAATCTCGTGAATAGTGGTCTCTCAGTTGATTCAACTTTTTTATGAAAGAGTCAACAAATTGAGCTTCAATCACATGTTAAGGTAATGAATTCCATTCGTTAAAGATTTTATGGGAAAGTCGACAGTCAGCTGATAAGCAATTTATTCCTCATAAATTCTCTGTTTTGCAAGATGGTAAAAATAGGGGCGTATCATGTGCAATTTATCACCAAGTATTTTGAAAACTGTAATCAAGTCACCTCTAGTTCTTCGATATGACAACGTGAATAGGTTTAGTTTAGTCAGTCAAGCATCATATGGGAGCTTCGCTAACCGAGAATCGGCTTGGTTGCTGTTCTTTGAACGTTTTCCAAAGGCTCATTGTCACTTTTCATGCAAGAGATAGCTGCTTGTGTGCAGCACTCAATTTTAGGATGCACGAATACCACACACAAAGTTAAAATGTTTTAGCGTCGACACGACTAAAGGTCCTATGTATTGACCATAAGGTTCTGAAACCTTTGCAGGCTATCTCACGACAGTTCGCAGTAGTTTTTAAGTTTTTGTTCACGATGATTGCTTCATCATTGTGTGCATGGACAACAAGTAGCCCAATGTTATTCATAATGTATGTATATGTATCTTGATGACCAATATGGAATAAGGCCCTTAGTTGCACCCCTGTTGAAGCATGTAGCCCTAGTCATTTCAAACCAAGTGCGGAACGTAAACTCGCTTCTCTCGTACAGTTCGCATCAGAAAGTACTCCCACCCTTTCCCCCTGGATAAATTCCCCAAGCAACTTCACTAGCTCATTTGATACATGCCCCAGTAACTCTAGCTATCAAAATACAGAGCTATTGAAAAACACTCAATCCATTACTTCAAACATACATCACTCACGCGAGGGTCATGACATCTTTAATCGAGATACTCTCACTCACTTTAACTTAGTAGGCCACTTGTTTAATATGTGTCTTATCAACGCTAGGTCGATCTGCAATAAAAAGACTGATTTAGCTCTGTTTGCTTCCATATATCAACCATCACTTATAATGATATCTGAAGCATGGACTAACAGTAATATTTCCGATCTAAGTATATCTCTTGATAACTACCTCATTTATAGAAGCGATAGATTGAAAGGACGAGGCTGAGGATGCCTTATTTATGCTCACTCTAGCTTAAACTCACTACTATGCGATATACATGAACTAAACAAACTGAAGGACTCGGTGTGGATTGTTTTAAAGCCATCAAATTCCATTACCTTACTGTTCGGCTGCATCTACCAGCAACCTAACTTGGCAATAGGTGAAATAGCAGTATTATCAGAGGTATTCACACTAGCATCATCCCTTCCATTCACAGGCATGCTCATTTGTGGTGATTTCAACATGCCTGAAATTTCTTGGTTTCCAGTCAAAGCTCCGAAACGTTATGAATCATTTATTGAATGTCTAGAACTAGGACAGTGGACTCAATATGTTAGTAGCCCTACCAGACATCAAAATATCTTGGACTTAGTTTTTACAAGTGGCCTCACTCCCAATACTGTGTATATTGGAAAAACGTTTCCAGGTAGTGATCATAACACTGTCGTATGTAGCATTAATATAAAAAACACAAGCGGTAGACGTAAAAATGTAACCCTTCGTAGAAACTATCGCAAGGTAGATTGGAATAATTTTCACAATTACCTAAGAAGCACTGACTGGGGAACATTCTTTACTGCAAACAATACCGACACACTAACCAATATATTTTATCACAACATCGAAAGTATCATCAACAAAATCGCACCTTTAGAGTACTGGAGACCTAAGTTTTCTAAAGATTTGTATATACCGGTCGGTACACGAAGACGTCTGCAGAGACATTGTACTCGCTTCCACAACTCTAATGACTTCTCCTATTTAGTAACGATGACAGAAGTACTTGTCCGGACAGACGCAATAAGTACACAAAAAGCAATCGAACAGGAAAAACATGTTGTCGAACTTAGTAATAACTCCTCAGCACTCACCACACTCTTTCAAAATAAAATTAAACGTTCTAAGTCGAGAGGAAACATATTTATTAAAGACAAACAAGTATACGAAGATCTTAAACTTGTTACGGAACTATTTGATGAACACTTTTGCTCCTCATTAACTGATGAAAAACCACTTAATGATTCAGAACTTATCATAGCATCTGCCTGTGAGATTACTAACGTAGACTTCAATGTACAGAATATCTCTAAGGCAATTAGTACATTGAAACACTCCTACACTGATGGACCAGATGGTATTCCGGCTAGCATGCTAAAACGTGGAGGCGATGATATGTGTGTTTTATTACTCAAACTATTTGCGATATCACTCTCTACAGCGCATTACCCTACTGCCTGGAAAACTACACACATCATTCCCAAAATTAAAACAGGATCTGAAGCAAATGTTGAAAATCACCGACCCATAAACATAACTTCAGTGGTGTCTAGAGTGATGGAGAAAGTAGTTAAGGCGGCGTTAGTCCAACATGTAATTACTAATAATCTCATCTCGGTCTCCCAACATGGATTTCTTAGGTCCAGATCATGTGATACATGCCTAGTGGACTACATGAATGATATAACTCTGAAACGGGACAATGGACTTCTTGTATCAGTCATATTTTTAGACATTAAGAAAGCTTTTGATAAGGTTCCACACAAACGGCTACTAGCCAAAACAACAACCCACTCTATTCATGGTTTGTTTCATTCTTAAAGGGACGTAAACAAATGGTAAAGTACAACGACTGTCTCTCATTACCTAGACCAATAACTAGTGGCGTCATCCAGAGAAGTGTATTAGGCCCACTTTTGTTTCGCATGTATATAAACGATATATGTAACATCATAAAATCTGGGAAACCATACTTATATGCTGATGATCTCAAAATAGTATACAACTATAAGCCTGAGGCTCTAAGTGAATGTGTACCCCTCATTCAAGATGATCTCAATAACCTAACTATCTGGATCGAAAAGTGGCAATTACAATTTAACCTCCACAAATGCGGGATCATGCGCTTTGGAAAGCACCCCTATGAACCCCAACTTTACTTAAATAAAAGTAAAGTCCAGACACTGAATTCAGTACACGATCTAGGAATAAATTACACAGAAAGCCTAAACTTTAAAGCACACGCCTCCTTTATTATTTCTAAAGCCAGACGTCTAATTGGCTTCATAACGGAAAATTTTTTCACGACAGATGCCAAGCTTACCCTCTACAAAATTTGTGTACGACCTTCCTTAGAATACTGCTCTTTTATCTTCTCTAATATGAATACCACTGACAAAATAAGAGTAGAAGATGATCAAAGACGCTTTACACGCCAACTGCTAGGAATTGAGATCACTCTTTACTACACAAGTAGATGTGAGCACCTCTCTTTAGAACCTTTATGGCACCGTAGGTTAAGGAACAATCTGATATTTCTCTACAAAGCAATAAATGGACTGTCATTCCTAACCTCCTGCCCAACTACGATCAATGACCGAGCCTATAGACTAAGAAACAATGCATATACACTATTTACCAAAAAACACCAAAAACAAATGCGTTGTAGGTTTTTTACAGTTCGGTATAGTTTATTGTGGAACAGGTTGCCAATACCTATCCGTAACTGTGACACCTGTTACACCTTTTCTTATTACAAGTAGACAGATAACTCACTAATCTTATGGATGCTGACCAACTAAGGCCGATCAAAAGAAGCTCAAGTGTCCTAAATTCTTGTGAGTTGTTCAATGTTTTGTTTCCTTACCCTGAAAATTTTACAATATTCTCTTTCATATCCTCTGATTTGCTACTAGCCCTTACCATCTCTTAACCACATATAATCTGAATTGTCTCTTCTAACCCTTACCATTAGTTATCTTCATAGTAGTACAATATATTAAATGGATATCTAACCCATAATACAAATGCTATTACCGTCTGATTCGCTTGTAACATGGAACTTGTAGAGACAGTGTATTCCAACTATGGTCCTTGATTAAAGCAATATTCATACTGACCACAAACGTAAGAGAGCCTAACATCATAAAAGGAGGGAGGGTGACGTTACTGACCAGCAAACATGATGGTGGGGAGATAACTTCAATCCACCCGTGTCTGTGGGGCAGAACATAATAATTACGGCTCCTTATGTCTAGTGGAATGTCACGAACCAACGGTATTGATGCGAAATTATTCATGCAAAACACCACTTTGAATCATGTTAAAAAAAGCTGAATTGGTTCCACTTCCTACCAAGTAATCCTAATACAAGCGAACTAGACAATTGGCTAAAAACGAAGCCCACTCTATACCCTATAAAATCTGAAAACAAAAAAAGAGTTCAAACAGCTTCTAAAGTAAAGAGAGATAGTCATTTGTATCGGAATACTGTTTTCAGCAATTTATTTTATAATTACACAATTACATACTTCCTTCTAAACTACCTTCATTTATACAGTTCCTTATCCACTCATACCTTGCCCACACTTATTTTTCTTTAACACATTAGTATGTTCTTACCCAATAAATACTTCAGTAACAGACAAATAGACTAAATGGTTATGCCTTAACTATTCCTCCATGAATATCATGTGCTCTGCTTTTCGTCCTTCGTTTT